CTGTCACATGAAATTTTAGCATTCTTTTGATGTATCGGGTTCCTGTGAAATAGGAAAGGGAAATATTTTCCCGATATTGTATTTTGATTTGCTAAAAAAGAACTTGAAAGTTGGCTAGTTGAGTCATTTGGTACAAAATGTTACATTTTTAAACAGGTTTTTCTAAAAATTTGCTATCTCTGGGTCATCTCTCCATGATTTTGAAACGTTATTTGTGCGCATTTTAATTCAAAGAAACTAACAAACATTTGTAAAAAATGGAGAGAAGACCCAGAGACGATAAAAAAATGAACTTTTTCCAAAAAAATTCCAATGTGTAAATGCGGTGCTTCATTGTTGCTTTAAAAAGATTAAAGTCTGTGTAGCGGTGATAGCTCAGAACTATGCGTTACCCGTTCAGTGCAATGAAAAGGAAATATTTTTGGTTCGATCCTCGCATGGAGCGTTAATGTTTTTTTTTAGTACAAACAATCAATTCTTTTGTCAGTTTAATTTTATGAACTGATTTATTTTCAAATAGATAAATTCTGGTTCTGTTGCACCGAAAGAAAGCAATTCTTCCAACCTACTGATACTTTAATATATACAAGTATGTACTTGTAATTGCATTTAACTATATCCTATATGTGTTTATTACTGGTGTGAAGCGTTATAAAGTTTTAGATGTAGTAATTATTAAGATAAGCGGACTGATATATTAAATTTGGCAAAGTATTTCAAAATATTTACATTTCCAATGTCTTTGTCCGAGATAAAATTACAAATTGTAAAAATACTTTATTTCTACATAAATCTACTGGTTCATCGATAGGCGCGGTTAAAAAAAATCACGTGCGGGGCGGGACAAATAGAGACAGAAGCGGGGCTATTAGCACGGGAATTTGCAGAATCAGGAGCATGTAAATATAAGGAATAACTGTCAGATTTTTTGGATTCATGACGATGATCAATCGATTGGCTTGCGTGATAATTTTATGCATAAACGCCTTCGGCGTTTATGCAAATTATCACGCAAGCCACTCGATTGATCACATCATGAATCCAAAAAATTAGACAGTTATTCCTTAACTAAATGTAACATTTTCCCATGTGCGTGACTCTGTAAAGTATGTCCAGCTGTGGTCAGCCGACCAAATCGTAGACATTTAAACTATAAATGTTTCGTACGCCTTATTCCTGCATATCACACGCCAAACACGCCCATCTTCTTTTTAGGATGAGTGACCAGGTTAAAGTTTTTGGAGCAGATGTCATTTCCAAATAACTATAAGCCCTATATTGACTAAACTTGCATGGATGATACATCTAAGGATGCACACTACTGGACTTGCTTCGGATGCTGGATTTGACTTACATTTTCTGGATGAGTGACTAGTATAAATGTTGCATCTAGGGATGCACACTCCTAGATTATTAGTTTAGTGTGGGACTTTGCCTTACTTAAAGACAACATTCGTTGAGGTGAGCTCTGTAATCTCTGATTACCTGTTTCGTATATGAAATAGCATAATGATACACCAAAGAGGTTAAAAATGACCATTTCTTCATATTATAACGCAATTTTTAGCTCACCTCGAGGTAGTCGAGATGAGCTTATGCTAATTCCACGGCGTTAGCGTCCCGGTCAGCGTTAGCGTCCCGGTTAAAGTTTTAGGAGCAAGTCCCATTCCCAAGTAACTATAAGCCCTACCTGGACCAAACTTGCATGGATGATGCATCTAGGGATGGACACTACCACACTTGCTTCGGATGCTGGATCTGACCTAGATTTTCCAGATGATTAACCAGGTTAAAGTTTTTGGGGCAGGTCCATTCCCAAGGAATTATAAGCCCTACCTGGACCAAACTTGCATGGATGATGCATCTAGGGATGGACACTACCACACTTGCATCAGATGCTGGATCTGACCTAGATTTTCCAGATGAGTGACCAGGTTAAAGTTTTTGGAGCAGGTCTATTCCCAGGAAACTATAAGCCCTACCTGGACCAAATTTGCATGGATGATACATCTAGGGATAGACACTACCATATTTGCTTCGGATGCTTGATCTGACCTAGATTTTCCAGATGAGTGACCAGGTTAAAGTTTTTTTGGAGCAGGTCCATTCCCAAGGAACTGTAAGCCCTACCTGGACCAAACTTGCATGGATGATGCATCTAGGGATGTACTCTAACTAACCTGCTTCGGATTCTGGATCTGACCTAGATTTTCCACATGAGTGAATTTTAGCCATATTTGAACCAAATTAGCATGGATGATGATGTATCTAGAGATGGACACTTCCAGACTTGCTTTGGATTCTGAATCTAATATTGATGGATATTAATCTTCGGATGTACACTAACTAGGAAAAAATATGATGTGAGATTTGCCTTACTTTCAGATAACATTCATCGAGGTGAGCTTAGTAATCTTTGATTACCTATGTTTTCCATAGGAATGGATCTTCGCTTCATTTTTTTTGAAAGATTATACTAACAATGTACATTTTTTGGTCGACAAAGACAAAGCAAAAATTCACGCTACCTTAAAAATACACATTTATGACACAACATTTGTATCATTTGAAGTCCATTTAGTCGAGGGTCATATCACATGATTTAAAATCCAATATTTGTCGTAAGCTTCATAGCATAGTGGTTAGGCACTTCGCCCGCCTTGTTCACCAATCTTCTTTTCTAAATATGAGAAAATTAACTTGAAACAATTAGATTTTATATGGCTGTTAAATAATACATGGAGTGAATCAATCTCAGACCAAAGGTCAAGCATGCACAGATGATCTTTGGTCAAGGTCAGGACAAACCCACAGCTCATAAATAAACCTTGAGTTAAGTATAAACTTTCAAGTCTTTTCATTGGAATGTTATGTAGAGTGGGCACAAATTGCACTATTCCTCTAGCAATGACCTTGAACTTGTTCAAATGGCCTCAAATGGTCACGACACATTTCCTCATTGTAAGCAATCTTAATAAAGTATGAACTTTCAATGGCTCTTCATTGAAATTTAATGGACCAAACAAGATTGTACGGACATATGGATGGATGGACCGATGGTCAAGGTGATTCTTATCCCCCCTCCAAGTTTCGTTTGTGGGGGATATAACATTCCCTTTGAAACTGAATGCATTTATTACTCAACAATAGTAAATTTATGAGTAAGCTTTGATCAGAACCAATATAACCAATTTTATGGATACTGTACATGTATTCAGTTTACCCCCACACCTTCAGAAAAGCTTATAGATGCCAGATTGATACACAACAATATCGCTACGGAAATTTGGTTTTTGTTATTTTTGAGGAATAAGGTAATTCATCATTCTTTTAACAAATAAGGTAATCAAAATACATTATCTCGTACCGAAAACATAATTATATATAGAAAAATGACTAAAAACCAGTGGATTTCCTTGGATACCAGTCTCTTCAAATGTCCAAAATAATTTTTACTTGTGTTTGAGTATTAGGTAGGAAAACATCAATTATATACCAAAAGCTTTTTGCACTGTCGAAATTTAACCAACTCTATAGACAATTGAAGCATCTTAAATGGATTATACATTCCACCCTGAGAAAGGTTTTGCAATGAAGATTTTTGGCGTCTGATATCTTGATACTGTTCGTATACTTCGATATCTAAATTGCGCTCTCTGCAATTTCTTTTTCGAGTCAGTTATACGAATTCTTAAAGAAGCAAGGTTCCTGAACATATTCGAAAACGCCACGAGCTACATTTTGGCGTCGTCATTGTTGCGCCAACAGCTATTCTTAATGATTCATTTTACAGAGAGATAAATGTTATTTATAGAAAGATTTTATTGACATTTCTATGTAGTATTCAAAAGATGTTGATTATTGTGCATGCCAACTTTTAACTTCATAATACATGTATTAGTGAAACAAAAAATATTGAAAATGTTCGAGTTTTTCTGGGTCAACCCCTACCTCTGGAAGATTAATTTTTTCGGTACTTAGATATATGTATGTATATATTCTGAGCTATGGATGTTCTTTCCGATTTTGCACTACACTCCATGTTGTTATTTTCTTGAAAACTTAATGGTCAATGAGCCGCAACATTGACCTTGAAATGCACAATACTCCAATTTTAAGTTAGAGGTTGGTGATTTTACAAGATGACATCAAAATGATTGTTCTCTTCTAGTTCTTACAGAGTCTGGATCAAATGTTGAAAGACACTTGTTATGACGATGGATCTGTCTTTTATTAATTTTCGATCTAAAGTTGAAAATGATTACATCACAAATTAATTTGTCATGTAGTCATTTTCAACTTTAGATTGAAAATTAATAAAAGACAGATAGACCCATATTAATGATTACAGTTTGTTCGAGAATAGTAGAATTTATATGCAAATAAAAGTGTGGTTTGCTTACTATTGATTTACATCCACTGAGTATTATCTCTGATTAATAAAACAAACAAACAAACTAAAACATTATCGTTTTTCAATACTTTAACGCCGCTTAACGATTTCGTGAGCAGTGGCTCTTCCATCAATGAAACATGCATTGTATGACGTACATATCGATAATACAATACTTAAAAGTTCTTGATCTTCCTTTAAGTATTTAATACAGGCATAATTTTAAACAATAAACTTTGTTACTATGGGAATGAATGTTGTAAGCTGTCGAAGGGAAAAAAGTACATAATCCGCGATATGTGTTTTTCTTCAACAGCTGCAACAATATAATTCCCGAACTAACTACCAAAGAAAGCATTTTATTGTTTATTATATATTTTTTATCATGATAAAAATATCAACATTTCACGATTTATATTTTTGTTCTGTTTTTGGTTTGTTTACACCGATGTAAGACAGTGTAATAAGATGGATCGAGTCTCTGCGTCATGCCTATAAATTAAGTGTTATGACGATTCTAACCCACCATACGTAAATAGTGGTAAATCAAAAATTGATCATCTGTGAACCGAAGTTTTAGGACATTAAGCATCACGTCAGGTAGATAAAATACAGCTATGTCGGACCTCTCCCCTGCGACAGTTCTTGGTACCCTCGCGGCAGGTGCGCTTATTAAGCATCTGAGTGCTGCCTACATAGCTAGCAAAGACTTCGTGTACGTTGGTAAAATCTCTGAGCTGCACGTATGGCCAGTGAAATCATGTGGAGGGTTAAAAGTAGACAAAGGACAATGTGAACATACAGGGCTGTTTTATGGTGGAATCGGCGACAGGTAGGTTTTTACCTTCACTGCTGATCAGCGTACCTGACAACACGTGATTCAACATGTTGATTCATTTTATAATACTATGGAAGCACGGTCTACAATTTATAAGCTGCTGCTAGTACTATTCTGTAACAGTTAGATGTATATTCTATCCAAACACAAGAAACTCTTTATATTGATGAAAGGATAATGGTTATGGTATAAGGCGTTTGTAAGATCACTAAATAATTATATAAAAGATAAATTTATAAATAAATTAAATCGATCCTCTTTCTCTCTAATCAACAAGATAAATATGTTGAATTAATATACCAATTAACATTTTTTAAAATAGTGATGCGATTCCATCAGAGCTATATAAGAATTAATCGTGACCAGCTCATTTTGCGAGTAAAATAATGGAATATTTATTCAACTGATTTGAGCCTACAGTGGAGCATCATGATGTACCATGTCTAAAATCATAGGAATAAATAACAAAATAAAAAAAAATTGCATTGTGTAATGAACAGAGACTTCGCTGTCAATTCTAACAATATATGAATTATATATACAAATAGTATATTTATATTGAATTTGTTGCAGTAATTTACTAGCAAACTAAATATACATGTATACCTATATATTGTGCATGTATGTTTTTTTCTTATATGGAAGTTCTCACTTAAATGTTGGCATAATAAAACAGCAAACTCAGAATCTTCATTTGACATAATCCATGTAAACAGGTCAAAATTCTTTAACAGTACTTTTATTTGGAAAAGTTTTATGTACTTAATTTTCCAAATCCTTGTAAAGAGCTGGTACGGATATCTTATTAAAATTTTAAAGATATACACGCTTTATAAACGCGATTTTTTATGTGAAACAAAATGATTAAATGATTTGAGAAACATGATGTGTAATAAAAAATAATTACTTTCCACAAAGTTTTACTAAATAAGTCGTTGTAATTACAAAACAATTAAGCAAGATCTGCAATTAAGAATTCAGCCTATTCATGAATATTGATGAAGGAAGTGCGTAAATAGTATATAGACACGCATATCCGCGGGAAATCAAAGACAACGAGGTACGTTGCATTTTGACTACTATTTTGAATAAAAGTTTATATCTGTCATTACAGAGTAGATGGTTAATAAAGGTTGTTTTCAAAGATAAGTACCTTTAAACATAAAACGTATGCCATCCATGTCAAAAGCTATTTTGTATACCAAACGGCCTACCTCGTTTTCTTGACGCCATTTTTGTTTATCAATCTAAAAGTAGCAACGGTGTCACATGATGCATGAATTTAAATATAGCATTACTTTCCTAGTAGGATAATAAATAATTATAATTTGAGATCTTTATAATGCGTTCATTTCCAATTGTGTAATTTACAAATATTTTCGTAACTTTATTTGGTAAACAAATAAATAAATTTCCAACTTTATTTTTAACTAGCGCAAGTTATAGCGTGTATATCTTTAAGAAAGTACTACGTAATTGCTTTTTAAAGGTACAATTAAATTTGTTTTCACTTAATTTTTTGCAAAGGGACAAATTAATATGTAGTTTTTCATTATAAAATAGCATACTGGAATACTAATTAATGGTGTTAGACCATTGACAGCTGTCTCTAGTAGGTAGATGTGTTTCCTAGTCTATACCAGTACATAAATGTCACAAAATAATGGATACCTTCCCAGTTCAGAATAGATTTTTTTATTTGTAGAAGTTTTTGATCCTCCCATTATATATTTACTGAATTTCATCTTGAGTTTTTTCTACATTTCAATCTTTAAATGTTCAAAAAGAGGGATACTTTTCCTTCTTGGAGTAACATTAATAACGCTCCAGTTCTTATTTTTTAAAGATTAATTAATTCTTTAATTTATGTAAAAGAAAACAAACCAAAATATTCACAACACAGTTTACATTTGAGTGATATTGCATTAAGACATTCAACCTTAAACCAGTCATAGATATGGTTTAAAGTATGTAAGACTGTTAGTTTTTATGGGCCGATTACCTTGAATATTGTGTTACTAACTTTAGAACTGGAAAGTGACTGTGTATTGTAAATAAAAACTGAATTAATCCTGGGATAAGTTCATGTTTCTGTTAATTGTGTCCGTTTAGGACTTGGGTCATCGTCTCACCAGATGGCGGCTACGTCACTCAGAGACAGGAACCAAAGATGGCTCTCATCAAGATCCGTCTCCAAGGCAACATTCTAATCTTGGAAGCTCCTGGAATGCCGACATTAGAGCTGCCCACCAAACCACAGACTATTAGATCGCAAGTCGGCAATGTTAAGTAAGAGTATAAATGAAATCAAAGGGCATTGGCTGTTCTTTTTAGCTCACCGTGGAAGTTCAATTTCTCCTCATATCCAATTTTTTTGAGGCTGATTTCTTTAATAAATATATTTATGCATTTAGAATTAAAGTGGACACTACTGAGTTTTTGGACTGCGGGGAGAAGTCTGCCACCTGGATAAACAAATATCTTGGACGACAGGGGCTGAAAATTGGCTTCTCCGCGCCAGACCTTCACAAGAGGGACGCCATAACAGCAGAGAAGCTGTGGAAGCATAATGCCAAAAAAGGCGACATGGTAAGTAAAGAAAAAAACCTGTAACTACTAAGTAGGCTTTGAAGAATCAAAGATGCCTACTGCAGTGAAGTTTACCATTTCTATTATAAATGAACCAAAGTTACTAGTAAGTTGAAAAGAAAAAAAAATAAAAAGGTATGTTTTGATATTTCATTAAAATGCAATGTGTATATTTTTTTATTTGTATGTTAAAGGGGCAAATTATAATTGATTGATTGTATGTTGTTTAACGTCCCATTCGAGAATATTTCACTCATATAGAGACGTCACCGTATGCCGGTGAAGGGCTCCAAATTTAGACCTATACTCGGCGCTGAGGGCCATTGAGCCGTGAGGGTTCTTTATCGTGCCAACGCCTACTGTGAACCGGGCCCTCGGTTTTTAGGTCTCATCCGAAAGACCCACGACTTTCACTTCTAGTGCCGGGCGCTTCGCGAAGGAACAGTCACTATCTATGTTTACGTCTTAGGTTTAACGCGGCGCGGCGAACGAAAATCGAACCCGGGCCTCCCGATCACGAAGCGAGCGAATTATGTTATGCCTATATTAAAAGATGTCTTACTCTTGTCTTGGATAAAGATGCTGTAAGATTGTCTATCTGTTACCAAGCATATAAGCACATGGCCGTAGGAACCGTGTGTGTGTGTGTGGGGGGGGGGGGGCTTGAGGGGACCCTGCCCTCCCCCTAATAATTTTGCCGATATATAGAATATTATAGAAAACATAGCTACTATATGCTTGTGCCCCCTCAATAATAACAGCTGATGACTTTTTTTGCTTGTTAAAGAATTTTTGAATTTTTGGTAGTGCCCCCAACTGAAAATGTTTGCTTGTGTCCCCCAAAACTGAAATTGTTTATTATGGGCCTGAAGCATGCTGTATACCAACCTAAACCCCTTCAGTTCCACAGTAGACTTTCTAGATAATCAATAATCATCCTCTGTTCCACAGCTGGCTTTCTGTACATTATAAAGACTCATCCTACTTCAGTTTCTCCAGAAAATCAATACTCGACCACTGTTTCTGTAGATTATCAAATCTTAACCTCTTTTTTGTAGATTATCAATGCTCGTCCACTGTTTCTGTATATTATCAATAAACGTCTTCTGTTTTATCAGTACTCGTCCTCTGGTTTATCAATAATCGTCCTCTGTTTCTGTAGATTATCAATACTCGTCCTCTGTTTCTATAGATTATCAATACTCGCCCTCTGTTTCTGTAGATTATTAATACTCGCCCTCTGTTTCTGTAGATTATCAATACTCATCCTCTGTTTCTGTAGATTATCAATACTCACCGTCTGTTTCTGTATATTATCAATATTCGCCCTCTGTTTTATCAATACTCGCCGTCTATTTCTGTAGATTATCAATACTTGCCGTCTGTTTCTGTAGATTATCAATACTTGTCCTCTGTTTCTGTAGATTATCAGTACTTGTCCTTTGTTTCATCAATACTCACCATCTGTTTCTGTAGATTATCAATACTTGCCGTCTGTTTCTGTAGATTATCGATACTCATCCTCTGTTTCTGTAGATTATCAATAAGTACTCGCCGTTGTTTCTGTAGAATATCAATACTCGTCCTCTGATTCTGTAGATTATCAATACTCGTCCTCTGTTTCTGTAGATTATCAATACTCGTCCTCTGATTCTGTAGATTATCAATACTCGTCCTCTGTTTCTGTAGATTATCTATCTATCTATCTATCTATCTATCTATCTATCTATCTATCTATCTATCTATCTATCTATCTTTCTTTCTTTCTTTCTTTCTTTCTTGTAATGCGCCATTTGATCCTATTTATTGATCAATCATCTTATTTATTGATCAATCATCTTATTTATTCAGGCTAATTGAATGAAAATCAAATTATAAGGATTGAAATTAATAGCTACCCTATTTATGCAGTATAAACTGGGTTGGAACAGTTTATACGGTATAAATTGGTTATAGCTATATATATATATATATATAATTCCAACTCATGATCTTTTTCATAGCTGGCTTTCTCGGATTATTCAAGTTATATGTTGATGTCTGCAAAATCTATGGATGTCCTCAATAGCAAACTCAAAAAACCGGTGTACATCCTCAACTTCCGACCAAACTTCGTCGTGGAGGGGTGTGAGGCATTTGATGAGGTAAAGGGGTTAATTAGCCCTTAATATATCTAATTAAACATACACATAATGAATTAATCTGCAACAATATTAATTATATATTAATAGCAATAATATTGCATCATCATACACAAATTTTACTATTGTAGGAACATTGGAGTGAGGTGAAAATCGGCAATGTCAAATTTAGGAATATTGACGATTGTACAAGGTCGGTTTACTTTCCTGTGTCCGACAGGTGTCGCATAATATTTGGTCCGCCTCGTTTAAAGGTCCGGGGGGACCTAATACGATAACATATAAGGTCCGACCTGCCTCTATAATAAAAGGTCCGCCTTCGGTTTAATATGCAGATTTTTCTCCTTTATTGATTGGAAATTAATTTGCTTTATTAATCTTTTTAAATTATTTAAGGTATAGTTGTTATAAAAGTGTCCCTCTCAGCAAAATGGAGTTCCAGGGACGTACATGTATATACATTGTATATATACTAAAAGGATCAAGTCTTGCGATATCTCGCTAGTTGCTGGATTTCGTTAGCCTATTTTAATTAATAATATTTCTAATACTTTGATATATCTCGGTACAAAACCTCAAATTATCTATCAAAAAATTATTCAAAATTTAATGTTAGCACCGATTAACTGTTAGCTCCTTATCGTAGTACATACCTCCCAGGTAGTGCACAAAACAAAAAATATAAAGATGCAAAGATCTGTTGATCGAGTTACCTTATGGAAAAATCATGTACGACATGTGTCTTTTATAGTTTAAGTAATATCAATATTATCATTGCAAAATAAAAAAAAATACATATATATAATACGCATACCTTCACTGGCACATTGTTCAGTATAAGGTGTTCGTAAGTCCAACAATGATCATTTCATTACAGTCTCTTTCCTAACAACGTTCGACTTCCACTTCCCAAAAAGAATTTTTTCATATCTTTCGAAAGATATTTCATTATATCATTAATAATATTTATGCATAATTCTTACGATTCATATTGTACCTAACTATAAAATAATTGGAGGGTCACTTTGACAGGGACTTGTGTTACGGTGTACTAGCCTATCCCGTTGTTGTTAAAACAACATGTCTATGCTTTGGGGGGTAGGCCTATTGTCTCACCTGACGAAACTTGAAGTCGCATATCCCCCGTGTCTTTATAACCATCGTTTCTTATCCAGTTAAAGACTAACGATTATTTCATTCTACTTGATATTACCCCGGGGTTAACACTGGTTAAGGAAGATGTGCATTAACTGGCAAAATCAAACCAAAGTCAATCGAGTTGAACATTTTAAGCAATAAAACACCCCCTCCCCCCAAAAAGGAAAAGATTATAAATGGTGTTTTGTATTTTTGGTGGGTGGGGTATAGCAAAATTATGCTGATACATGTCAAATAGTTTAAAAAGTACTGATGTTGTAGACTTTCCTCCCGCATTAATATTTTTTCCCGGAAAAACGAGCTTGGGTTTAAAGACCCCTCCCCTTTTGGAAAATGAGCCTAGCATAGGATTTTATTTCCGGAATTTTTTTTTTAAATATTGTTTATTTCATTCCCTACATTTTGTAGTTTTCATTTCTGACGTTTTAAAATTTTCATCTCTGACATTTATCACCATAAAGTACTTTTCCGGCAATAAAAACAAAATTGAAATTTCCCTTATAAAAAAATTAAAGAATAAATCAAGAATAATTCATTGATTTCCAAATGATAAGTTCTGCTTATATTTAAAAGAATCTTATGACGATTTTATCCTCGGACACATGTAAGTGTAAGTTGTGAATTTTTGTTCATCTTTTCAAATCAAGATAATCAGACTGAATTTGAGATCAGAAAGGTTTAGATAGAATTTAAGACATACAGAAACTATGTTTGACGGAATAAAGTAATCAAAGTAGAGGAGATTCTGTTTTTCGGTGCTTTCAAACACATATAATTCAGTGGGCATTAAAATTTGGTGATCAAAAATTGCATGTTTTATTATTGAAATTATTGCATTTTATTACTAAACTTTGTATTTTTACTAGACTTAGTGTTGATTGTATTGTAAAATGAAAACAAAAAATGTCGGAAATGCAATGCAAAATTTCGGAAACGACATGCAGCGAGCTCGGAAGAAACAACCCCGGCTTTATTATGCACCATAGGAAATACTCAGTACGCTTCAGTACAGAATTTTCTCCTTTTCCACCTTCTTACTAGGGAGAATCTTATCCACCCATACTATTTACAGAGGAGTTTTACAGAGCAACTTGACATGTATTTCCCCCTAAAATAAAAAGGAAAGTGTCTGTTGAGATCGTGACTGATATAAAAATTCATAAAACACCACCAAGTCGTGTTCTTTTGTTAATATTTTTTTTATATTTATTTTGATTTTGGTTTAAATAAGATTTTCTACGACTTTAAGCGGCTATTTCTTTTTTATTTATGTGTGTGTGATGGGGGGGGGGGGGGGGGTTATAGTTCTCTTGTTGCACGTCATCAACATTACAAATTAAATAATAATATATATCCTTGGTCCCTTCAGAAAGATGTTTATGGTTGCATATAGATATACAATACAGTAGACACATCTCCTGCAAACGTACATAGAGTGGATAATTAATTGACATTAAAGTTTTGTCTTTTTGTCAGCATATTAAATGAAAAAAGAACACTACTACATATAGTATACATGCAATTCTTATGCACAATTAGGCCATTCCAAGAGTTTTCTAAGTTAATTAAGCGTCCATCCTAAATTTAAAAACCTTATTATCTTTTTACCCTGGAAAAACACACGAACCAACAAAGAAAAAAAAAACAATAGGAACTTACAGCATTTCCATAATCTTTGCTTTGTAAATGAGATACATGTATGTGGGGAAAAAGAAAAACAGAGGGCGGACTTTTATTATACTGCTTTTTAAGGTCCGCCCTGCCATTTTAACGAGTTTTTTTTTTTTACGCTACGATAACTTATAATAAACTCTGTTCAAAATATTCGCCTTGTAATAGTAAGATATCTGAAATATAGAGGGCGGACCTTTTATTATACTGCGTTTTAAGGTCCGCCCTGCCTCTTTCTCTAGTTTTTATGCTACGAAAATAAACCCTGTTCAAAATTTTCGCCTCGTAATAGTAAGATATCTGAAATATGGAGGGCGGACCTTTTATTATACTGCGTTTTAAGGTCCGCCCTGTCTCTTTCTCTAATTTTTATGCTACGAAAATAAACCCTGTTCAAAATTTTCGCCTTGTAATAGTAAGATATCTGAAATATAGAGGGCGGACCTTTTATTATACTGCGTTTTAAGGTCCGCCCTGTCTCTTTCTCTAGTTTGTATGCTACGAAAATAAACCCTGTTCAAAATTTTCGCCTTGTAATAGTAAGATATCTGAAATATAGAGGGCGGACCTTTTATTATACTGCGTTTTAAGGTCCGCCCTGTCTCTTTCTCTAATTTGTATGCTACAAAATAAACCCCGTTCAAAATTTTTGCCTTGTAATAGTAAGATATCTGAAATATAGAGGGAGGACCTTTTATTATATTGCGTTTTAAGGTCCGCCCTGTCTCTTTCTCTAATTTTTATGCTACGAAAATAAACCCCGTTCAAAATTTTCGCCTCGTAATATTAAGATAATTGAAATATAGAGGGCGGACCTTTTATTATACTGCGTTTTAAGGTCCGCCCTGTCTCTTTCTCTAGTTTGTATGCTACGAAAATAAACCCTGTTCAAAATTTTTGGCCTTGTAACAGTACCATATCTGAAAAAACAGAGGGCGGACCTTTTATTATACTGCGTTTTAAGGTCCGCCCTGTCATTTTGACTAGTTTTTATGTTACGGAAATAAACCCTGTCCAAAATGTTTGCTTTCTAACAGTAAGACATCTAAATTATAGAGGGCGGACCTTTTATTATACTGCGTTTTAAGGTCCGCCCTGCTTCTTTCTCTAGTTTTTATGCTACGAAAATAAACCCTGTTCAAAATTTTCGCCTCGTAATAGTAAGATATCTGAAATATAGAGGGCGGACCTTTTATTATACTGCGTTTTAAGGTCCGCCCTGTCTCTTTCTCTAGTTTGTATGCTACGAAAATAAACCCTTTTCAAAATTTTTGGCCTTGTATCAGTACGATATCTGAAAAACAGAGTGCGGACCTTTTATTATACTGCGTTTTAAGGTCCGCCCTGTCATTTTGACTAGTTTTTATGTTACGGAAATAAACCCTGTCCAAAATGTTTGCTTTCTAACAGTAAGACATCTAAATTATAGAGGTCGGACCTTTAAATATACTGCGTTTTAAGGTCCGCCCTGCATCTTTCTCTAATTTTTATGCTACGAAAATAAACCCCGTTCAAAATTTTCGCCTTGTAATAGTAAGATATCTGAAATATAGAGGACGGACCTTTTATTATACTGCGTTTTAAGGTCCGCCCTGTCTCTTTCTCTAGTTTGTATGCTACGAAAATAAACCCTTTTCAAAATTTTTCGCCTTCTAACAGTACGATATCTGAAAAACAGAGGGCGGACCTTTTATTATACTGCGTTTTAAGGTCCGCCCTGTCATTTTGACTAGTTTTTATGTTAGGGAAATAAACCCTGTCCAAAATGTTTGCTTTCTAATGGTAAAATATCTGAAAAACAGAGGGCGGACCTTTTATTTTACTGCGTTTTAAGGTCCGCCCTGCCTCTTTATCTAGTTTTTATGCTACGAAAATAAACCTGTTCAAAGTTTTCGCCCTGTAATAGTACGATATCTGAAATACAGAAGGCGGGGCTTTTATTATACTGCGTTTTAAGGTCCGCCCTGCCCCTTTCTCTATTTTTCATGCTACAGAAAAAAACTCTTTCTCTTTGTAATAGATAGATCAAAACGGGGGATTAAGGTTTTACATAGGAATATCTAGGAAAAAGTCTTCAAAAATCTTCTTCTTAAGAACAACAATGTCATGATTAGTCATATTAATATGGAAGCATCATCAGTTAGTGTAGATGTACGTTTGTTCAAATCATGACCCCCGGGGTAGGGTGGGGTCACAAGGGGGGATCAAAGTTTTACATAGGATATATATATCGAAAAATCTTCTCCACAAGAACAGCAAAGCCATCTTTAGTCAGATTGATATGGAAACATCCTCAGGTATTGTGGATTCAAATTTGTTTAAACCATGATAACAGGTCATATAAAATTAATTTTCCGCCAGAATATGGCTGAAATATAGCCGACTCGGCGTTAAACCCTAATCAATCAAACCATGACCCCCTAGGGGTAGGATGGGCCACAATGCACTATTAGGGTTTAGCATGTGAATGTATAGGAAAAAAAATTCTAAAACCTTTTTTTCAGGAACAACAAAGCCATATTTAGTCACATTGATATAGAAGTATCTTGAGGTAGTGTAAATTCAAGTTTGTTTAAATCATGACCCCGAGGGGTAGGGTGGGGCTAGCGCTATATCTATAAAAATCATGACACCTGGGGTAGGGTGGGGTCATAATAGTGATTAATGTTTTACACTGGAAGATATGTTAGAATAAATTTGCTGATGAAAAACAGCAGGGCCTTATTGGTGAGCGTTGTGGCCCATGGGCCTCTTATTTTATGTCAAGGTCTTGGAAAATCGTAGGACGATTCTTTTATAAAAGGCAGTGACGAATCTGAATGTATAATGGTAGTACAATGTATATTTACCTAGAATATATTCACCACATACAATCAAAAGATATGTTCAGATTTATTATCCATGTATATCACAAAAATGTTATGTTAGAATGATCATTAGTTGTACTGTATCCGTATCTATAGACTTTGATTCATATAGCATGAAAAAGAGGGAGTATTTGTTTCTGTATTCATACAATGAATTGGGAAAATAATCACCTTAAAAATAAGAAAGGGGTTCATCAACACTACGTACATAATGTATGTGGTAAATGCCTTGTGTGACAAGTAAAAAGAAATCTGTAATACACCAGATGGTGTTTATTTTCTACGTACTTGATACGCAAGGAGCAGATGGAAATTTAAAGAAGGTGTTATTGCCACCCCTCCCCCTCTTCCTCACCTGAGATGCAATGTATTACCGAAAATTCCTCCAGCCACTACCGAAATTATTCATATAACATGCGCAGATCTGGGGGGGGGGAGTCGGGGGACCCCCCCTCCCCCATCTGGAATTTGCAGAGTTATTAAAAGTATATACTGAAGTAAATAAAAAATGACTTTGGGCCCCCTTAGAAAACGTGGACCCTACCATCACCACCACGAAATAGGTGTTTTTCACGTTTTGGAAATGGAATTGGATTTTACGTTTTTTTTCTTCCTTGTCAAGAAATTTTTGGGTTACTAATTTTTTTTACTGGGATGCCCCCCCCCCCTGGAAAAATTCTTGATCCGCGCCTGTATAATCATTATTCAAAATTGTTAGGTAATATCCGAAACAACATATGTGCAATGTATAGCATTTATGAAAATCGAACTTCAAAAATTCTGTCATGACTACATGAGACCGATTGTATTATTTCCTCCATGGTTACCACGGAGAATGACTGAGGACTTCGAAAAGGATAATTTAAGGAGATTGGCAAAGTTCCTAGCTTTCGTAAAGAATTTTTCAAAAACTCTTGAGCAGGTGTAGTGGTACTAAACAATACACTTTATTGGTTTTCACCGCGTAGAAAATTCTACACGGGAGATCACTCTCAATCAAGCTCCAGACAGCTCAGTATTACTCCATATCATTATTCGTAGGGAAAGTAGTTCCCGGAGAGTATGGAGTATGACTCTCAGTCATACTCCATACAGTGTCAATTCTCCGGGACTACTTGGTATGGAGTTGTAGCGTAACGTAATACTGAGCTGTCTGCAGCTTGGACTCTCATGATGGAAAACCCCATGAATTACCTTTTTTCTCCGGATAACCGTGAGTTGCCACTTTCCATAAATGAATAAAATAAATAATCAGCGTTTTATAAAAGAAATATATTTTTGATTTAAAATTAGACTGAAACGCTTCTAGTCGACATCACGAAAATGTACATATCATGAAGCTTGAAATGGGAAATATGATGCACGCTTGACAACGTCCCCAGAAACAATCAGTCAGTATATTTCTGGGTGCATTTGGGGGGGGGGGGTTATAGCACAAATTAATGTAGAAAATAGAAATTCCTTGATACGCAAAAAAAAGGAAGAGGATCAACTGATGTTCCCTCGCCTTCCCCCGTTCATACAGACGTGAGATACATAAATGACTTGTATATAGAACTGGACATTCAACTTTGCTCAAAATGCTTCATGTCGGTAATAAAAGAAAATATTTTACAATAATGATTTCAAATTTTAATCGGTCATGCAATACAGCCTGCTAGATTATCCCACAGTCTGTCTATTATAGTCACAGTAAAATGTGTAATTTCTTTTTCTTTTGGCCCCCCCCCCCAAAAAAATACAAAAATGAAATATTATTTCATATATAGTTCATTATAACGAGAAAGAGTGATGTTTTTATAAGAAAGAATTAAATCCAAACCATGATTATACTTTAAATCTGATGTATATGTTTTCAATATTGAATTACCTGTTTTAAGCTTTAACATTACATGTATTTTGTTTCTGCAGTAAATACAGATAGAATACAACATTAGGCTATATATTACCCTATCCACAAATAAAGGGCAAAATATTATTATAAACTGAAAACAAGTTAATTGTTAAAACTAAAGGGAAGCATATACATACTTTTATTTTTTATCGGTCTAAGTATTAAACTCTACACTTGGAATAAGAAATTTCTTTAAATATTGTAATAAAAATAGACTATATATAATTATATAATTATATCACAATTTTGATGTGTACGCATGAATATCATAATAGTATTATAATTTGTTCTTCAGCATAATTTATTAAAATAGAGAATTCATATCTATTGATTTAAAGCAAACACATGACCATTACATTGTCATTGCTATCTGCCGCGGGCTCTACCTGCGGGTACCTGTCAGGTATACGAATACTTCACACCCCCATTGTTTTATTGCCTATACACACCGGCAGATTTCACACCTTTAATCGTCCTAATTTACACAAAGCAAATGCTGGGGAAAAACAAACACTGCGACATTTTTTAAAATCATTGCCCTAAACGGTATTGCTAAAAGCACACTAAACATGGAGTAGCAATTCCTGCCCTAAGAGATATATATTGTACAAAAAAATAAACACAACAGCTAGGGTAAATCCTTAATCTTTCTTCATATGATGTAAACAAACTCTCTTTAATTTTATGTGTTTAAGTCAAGATTAAAACATTTTGCACCACCCGGACCTTTAAACTTAGGCGGACCTTTTCTTATACGGGCCGGACCTTTTCTTATAAAAGGCGGACCTTATATGTTATCGTATTAGGTCCCCCCGGACCTTTAAACGAGGCGGACCAAATATTATGCGACACCGGGCAAAACAAAATGCTATGATAAAGGTTTAAGGATCGCCCCAATGTAAGATGTGTTCCCCCATTGTTTACTTCAGGTGTCTCCTGACTACCGTTGATCCTTATACAGGGGAAAAATCAAAGGAAGAGGAACCATTAAAGACATTAAGAACGTACGTATTTTGTCTAGACTATATACGATGGTCGTCCCAAAATGTGTAAACAAAGAAAACAATTTAGTTTCTCTTTGTGAAATTAAATTTCTTGTCTGTCATAGTGAAAAATCAACATTTTATGATCATGAATTTCAAGTTTCATGATAAAACCTTTAATAAGAAAATAATGTGAACATGAAGAAAGCATATAAGTGAATATCGGCGCACGAAAGCAAGCGTAGTTTACATGTCTTATAATATCATGTTCATTGCTTTTTAGTACTATCCCTGTGCTCAACACGCGTCTCTGAAGCATCTCATTGATTTTTTAAACTGGCAAACCACTCTTGACTGAGGGGCTAATTAATTAAAATCAATTAATTAAAATTCACAACTGTCCATAGTTTTATTTTTATCAGATTCAAACTTCAGTCCTCGAAAGGTCGCCTTACATTGTAGGAAGCAGAGAATACACAAATTTTGGTCGAACTTGACCCATAACGTTCCTCAATTTGAATCGTGAATTTAAGAAAGAGTACTCTACTTATAGAACTAACTATTTTCGGTACGGAGGTGACAGTCCTTGAATCTCTTATGCCATTTAAAAACAACTTCTCTACTAACTTTCTAGTGTGTAATGTCACTTCTGTATCTTTTTCCGTCTCTGAAGCCAAACCACATTTGAATCCCCGTGCGCTGCTCACGCGATTGACGACGCCATTTGTAGCAAACTCAATTCCAACAACGCTTTGAAAATTACGACAACTATCACTGATGCCATTTATGTGAAAATTTGATATATTAGAAAGATTTTGCTTTTGGTTTCACTGATATAAATTTGAGTTTTGTGTTTTACATAGTTTACCAGAGAAACAAATTGGAATACATGTAATTACATATGTAAATTATTCCCGATTTTGTTTGTGCGCCAACATATCATATCAGCCTTCCTATAAATTGTATAATATTATTACCATAAAAGATATTTATTTAAGATTTCACTATCTTAAGGAACATTGAATAAATGAATTATGGCTATGCAAAATTTGGTTAGTACTGGTTGAATGTTTACCAAGTTATAAACATTGTCTACGACTTTTTGGGACAACCCTCATAGTAGCAACAATAGTTAATTTTTACAAAGAGCTTTGCCCCATAAAACAAATGCAAAATATTTCTACTATGGTTCATAAAGCTCACTTGTGTCATCATTCTAACGTCACGCCAAACAAATGTGCAATAAGACTACTAATTAAAGGCCTTAAATGTCAACAATTTTAATTTAACATATTATCTTATATTTATTCTCAACGATTTTGATTTAACGTATTATCTTATTTTTGTTCACAAGCATGAATGTGACATACTTGAAAGTGCTTGCAAATAATTCTGAATATTTCATTTTCACGTAAATTCCTTTGATGGCCATGTCTTAATCCCGATGTCAGGATTTGAACGAATTTTAATCTACATAAGAAAGTGAAGCTTTCGCATATGTATTTTTCTGGTACCCAAAGTGGTTCTTTAGGAAAAAAAAATAATCCTAACCAATCTTGTTATTTTAAAATAAGGAAAATTTGGGAATGGGCATGATCCTTTATTTGAACAAACCCCCTTAAGGTTCATCGATACTCTAGGAGAGATAACTCTTAATGATATAAATATCTATTATTCCTTTATAAATTTGTCAAGTGTCTTTTTTGTCCAATTTTGCCCCGCAAGCTATGCTATTATTGTTTGCATTTTACTTAACAGATACATTTCTTTCGGAAAATCATAAGAGTTAAAGAAACATTTTATATGAGTGAGCAGAGGGTTTATGAACCTTAATCCAAAAATTATTTGTTGCAAGTTTGGTTAAGATTTGCTCAGCGAGTCAGAAGATGACATCGAAAAAGCTTATAAACGACACTACAGATCGACAGCATGCTTATAAACGACACTACAGATCGACAGCATGCTTATAAACGACACTACAGATCGACAGCATGCTTACACTGGAATGTTCTTTATGAAGCAGATCATGTAAGGTGATAAAAAAAATTGTCTTTTGTAGGTTTCGTTGTCGACCGGACCGTTATGGCCCTAAACCTGTGATGGGGATCTGCCTGGCCCCCGATTCTCTGGGTGGGGTCAGAGTAGGGGATGAGGTTTTTGTCAAATACAAGTAACTCCCCACCAACAGATCTTCATACTTAAATACATACACAAATTTCTGTACTCCAATAAATACAACGGTGCAATATTGGCATAATTTCAATTTGTACTTTTTCTAAAAAAAAAATATAAATATTTTAAAATTTATTTTAAGCATTATACTTTAAAGCACATATAGGTGATCCTCTTTTTTTTTTCTCTTTTTCTGTCAAATGGTTTGGTTACTTTTGTATGTAAAATTCTGTTTAACAAATGTTTATGACTAGTTTATGTTTTATATATTCTATTAAAGCACAGAAAAGGGGCATGATATTCAAATACAAACAGAAATATTGCAAATTCTATGTTTTTTATTTTGTTCATATACATTTATGATACACCATTTTTTTTTTATTTGAAAGGATAAGAAAATTCAGGGTGCTGAAAAACAAAAAAAAAAAGAAAATGTAATAAAATTGCAATTTTATAATTGAAAGAACAAATGCTTGAATATGATATTATTTTTATAATACTTAATGTACATAATTTTTCTTGCCACTATATATGTGTTTACTCATATTCTAACTTTCTTGAAAATTTTAGAAATTTTAAGAAACGGAAATTTCATTTAAAATCACTTGTATTGAGCTATGAAAATTATTAAATAAAACAAAAATAATTTTTTCATTATGAATACCTTTGCATGTTTGATTTGGGATGAGGTTCCTGAGGTAATCTGTTGTACATCTCTGACACACGTCATCATGTATGGTGATGAAATTTCCGTCGTTTGTAACCTTTATGCATTCCTCCACCGTTTTACCACGTGACACAAGAGATCGTCTGCCTCTCGTAGCGAGTACTGCTTGTATTTGACCATCAGAAGTTGCCGTTTCTACCTTGTACTGACATTGTGCCAATATGTCAGATTCATATTCGCAGTCTCCGCTAAGTTGAATGGTTGATCCACAAGTGCTGTAAGTTATTTGTGTTCTGCATCTTTCACCTGATTAAAAAAATTTTTAAAAAATGAATTCTCACTTCAGAATAAATGCTTTTCTTGATCAAAACAGAACTTATTTCACTGCTCGTTCTGAAATGCTTCTCACCACCAAGAAGACATTTATGAATTTACAGTAACACTGATTGTGAACTTACGTAACTTATAAACTTAACTGAGGACGTAGGATAAAATCTAACTCAAACTCTAGATGGTTAGCTTGTAATAAAATCTAAACAGCACGAATTAAACTTGAGTTTTTTTTTTCAAGTAATAAAGTTAACACATGAGAACTCACCAGGTGTACCAGTTGGGTCCTCTGAAATCAATGGGAAGTCTTCTATAGGTTCATCAGTTCCTACAGAAATATATATCACCCACTGTGTCATTTGTAAACTATGAAGAGTAATTGATTTTCAAGCTGAGTGTTTGCTGTACTCACTTGTACATTCCTTCACACCGTCTCCATCAAAGCCGCGATTACATCTACATACAAAGTCACCCAGAACGTTTCTACACCGCGCATTCTTATGGCAGGTCATGTGACGAGTGGTCAGCGCCATCTTGTTGATGCCTCCACTTCTTACACACGTCTGGATGATTTCACAGTTTGTAAGAGGTCCATGGGAATTCAGCTACAAAGAAAGCTTAAAATGTAAACACGCTGTCAGAACTAAAAGAAAATACAATTTCAATGACAAACAAGACCAAACTTAATTACGTGCATAACAACTAGCATCGTCTCAAGCCACGGTCCGGAGTCCGCGTATAGCTCTCTCTGAGAGGATCGTACATTTTGACCTTGGTTTGCAACGATGAACAACTAGATTTTAAATTTTTTTTTAGTTTCATTGAAAAGTAATCTAAGCTTTTAATTTAAAAAAAATTAAGCTAATATTTTGTGCCGATTGCTCGGCTTACATGATTCTTTTACTGGTGTAGCAATGCTGTATTACTGTTGCTGACACTTACAGGATAGTATTGATCATTGAAAAAGCATCCACATTCGTCCTCTAGAACACACTTCTCTCCACTCAGAATGTATCCCTCTTTACACACACAACCTTCCTGTGGAACAAGATCACATTTAGACTCCCCTTCAGGATCTGAACAGGTGCGTGGACATCCAACAATGGCTGGGTTGTATACAGCATTCTCAGAACATGCCAGAGCTGAAAACAATAGCAGGGTTATACACAGTACTCTAGGAGCAGGTCAGTGCTAAAAACAATAGCAGGATTATACACAGTATTCTCAGAGCAGGTCAGAGCTGAAAACAACAGCAGGGTTATACACAGTACTCTAGAAGCAGGTCAGCGCTGAAAACAGTCTTCTCCGAGGAGGTCAGAGCTGAAAACAAAAGCAGGTTTATACACAGCTCTCCTAGAGCAGGTCAGAGCTGAAATGATTTTTACAATGAAGCAAGCATTGCAGCGTTAATACTCTTCATTCCATGTAATCATGGTGATTGAACCGAAAAGTGAAAAAGAATATAGTATAAAGATCTTACGACAAAAGTCGGTCTTTCTCCACACTACTTTTCCAAATCCTTTGATAAGACACATTTCTGCGAGCGATTCTCCTGCCATGCAGGCTGTCTTCATGGCAAAAGCAGGTTTGTCTTCATAAGAACAAACATCGTCCATACATGACTGGTACAGTTCCTTAGCCAAGTTCTCATCCGCTTTGATGCATCTTGCAAATGGTCCCGATTTATCCAACAAAACACCACAGAACTCATTTGATGCTGCTCGCTTGGACCAAAGAGATGAACACTTGAAATCAGAGTCAGTGGTGACACACCTAAAACATGCAATTGATTATTTTATTGTTTTTAATTTGTATTTTGTTTTTTTCTGTTTACTTAATGGTTTTAAAGTACTTTAAAGATACAGACTTAGAGCTTCATGCTTGTATCTGCTGTTTGTACAATTTAGCGTTTTACTTTTCTGCGGACTTTGCGACATCGTCGAACACTTGGTAACTTTCTCCAATTAGTGAGTACTTGTTGGGTCTCGTGGATACGTCATCACCAGTCTTTGTTCGCAGGTCATCCTTTTTGCCATTACAGTTGCCACAGATGCCTGTTACATGGTCGCTATATTGTTTTGGTATAGATAAAGAAACTGAATGTACGCCATCAAAACTAACGACAACTCCACACGTTGTGCTGACTGTGAGGAAACGTCCCTTCGTCGTCACTTTATAAAAACCGTTAAAGGATGTCCATGGTGCAAACATTTTTATACCATTAATCTGTTAACGAAATTAATGACTAATGAACAACATTCAAAATCCTACTTGTGAATAAAGTTATAATTCGTTTAAATTCTTATTCAAGTGTATCTTACTGTTAATTGGTTCTTCTGAAGCAAACGTATATTATATCCGGGCACTTTAACATCAACTAGTCGTGTGAAGGACACCTTGGCATTCTGATGACGTCTTACATTTTTAACCTCTACGTTGAATGAGCACTTGTCCTTGGAATTGAATTTGGACAGAGTGTACTTACATTCACCCATGAAATGGATCATTTGTCCGTCAAAGGTCCGGTAGTGGGGATCGCCGGACGCCATGCAAGTGCAAGACTCTAAATAAGAAAATTCGTTTGATGATTTATGAATTCTCTCCCTCTCTCTATTCTTTTGATAGAAGTAACATGTAATATATTTTATTTACTAATACATATATGTATTTTAATGCAGAATACAACAAGCTTCCGAGGGCTTAGGACGCACAATTACAATTCAAAGGTTTCAATCCTTTGCTACAACTTGATGTACATTGGACGTCCTTTAAACTATAAATGAATTTACAAAATTGTTTTCTTTCAATGTTGCGCCTCCTCCCCTAAATTAAAAATTGAAGTACATGAGATGGTGTAGGGGTCTAAAAAGTCTTCTAGACGCCATTACTTTCAAATCTGATCCCCAAACATAAAATCATAGGTTTGCATCTAACAATTACAAGTCACAAAGTGAAATTCTCTATATTTATGTGATAAATGTTGTTAATTGATTTCACCTTGACAAGAGGAGATTCCATCTCCAAATAATCCTCTGTTACACTGACATATTCCATTATCACACCTGGCATTCTCGTGACAAAGGTGTTTTCCACCACACAGTTCTGTAAATTAAAGGAAAGAATGATTCGATATAATCAAGTAGCATATACCGTATGATAAGCAAGCAGATAAATGAATTTAATTACGTGTTGGACCTACTTTTACACTCATTGACTCCATCTCCCATATAACCCTCCTTACAGACACATTGTCGAACACCGTCCTTCAGGCCACACAAACCATCAGAATGACAGCGCTCATTGGTACCAAGAACCTGCAAAACTGCCTCCCCATCCCTTCTGATGCACTTCTTTGTCGTAGTACAGTCATCTGATACAATGACGGCATTTAACTAAAATCAAATTTCCGTTTCTTAATGAATTCATCAGGACTGCCACAAATACATACGTTAGTATTCTGTATCAAACGTAGAACTTTATATAAAGAATAGGAAAAAAATCGTTAATTGGAAGCTTAAGATAATTTCTAAAACGAGGCAAGCTATTGACAAATATAATAAATATAATCTCGTTTAATTTCGCAAATTCTATGGTCGATACAATGACCTTGTTAGCAAATACAATCAATCGTTAAAGTGAATGTTTATGGACGTTTTTCATACAAACTGTTAGGCCATTATTTTTCACACTGAATTGTCTACAGATTTTTCCGTTTTTATCATGAAAAGGAGCATGTGACCGGTCGACAGAGTACTCCTCCATGACACCTGATCCCACCTCTAATGTTTTAAAAGGTCCGTGTTTGCTCTGCTCAAAATTTCTATTTTTTCAATGGACTTTTGAACTTGATTACTGATCGTTATCTTCATATTTCGCTACTGAGTAGACGGAACGTACTGGAATATAATCCCCGTTAGCAGTCTGACATCCACATTCATTCTCTCGAACACAGCTTGTTCCACTCAGGACAAACCCTGGAAGACACTCGCATCCCTCCGTGTTGGGAAGGGGACATTTATTAGGCGCATTTGGTGATGTACATGTGGCAGGGCAACCGCTGACAGAGGTACTGTATCGCTGATTACCTCCACATTTAATTGCTAATGCAAAATAAAAATACGGTAGATTTAACGTGTTTTAATGATAAAGATCATCATAAAAGCAATTAAGGACATTTGGGTTTCATTTTATATAGGTGTCTTGAGACTGAATATATCAATTAGACACCCAATTCTTTTGCTCAATTTTTGAAAAAAAGAGGGTATGTGGAAACATCTTTTCTCCTATTGTGTTACATCAGATTTTATTTATCTTACGACAGAAAGCAGATGATCTCCACTGCACCATAAAACCACTAGTTTCACAAACGGCCTCCAGTCCTTCTGCTGCCCTACAAGAAGCCTCCTTTCTTTTGGTTACATCATCAAAGTAGGAGCAGACGTCGTAGATACAAGATTCATACATCTGTGAGGCCAAAGTGGGTTTGTAAGCCAAGCAAATATTAAACGGGGAGCTTCTCCTTGTCTTGGGATTCAGTATTCCGCAGTGACTTTTGTCTGTAGCTATTGCAAGCATTTCTTTTGAGCACTGCACATCATCTTCTAGAGTTTTACATCTATTAACAAAAACATCAATTTTTTACACAACAAAATAATGCAACACTAAAATTTCGTTAAGGATTTTTTGATCGTGGAGATGTTTGTTTACTTACACAGTGGATGGTTTTTCCGTGTTGTCGTACACTTCATAACTTTTACCAATCAGAACGTATTTGTTGCTCTTCCAAGAAACATCTGCACCGTCTTGGGTGCGATAATCGTTCTTCTTACCATCACAATTTCCGCATATTCCTTCCATCTTCTTGCTGTAGGACCTTGGTACACCAACTTGAACTACCGATTTTCCATCCCAATTTACCATGACGTTACATTTTGTGACCAGTTGGACAAATCTTCCACTCATCATTATCTTCAAGTCCCCGTTGTTCTCTGAGACGGGGAGGAACTTCTTTTCTCCATTTATCTGAAATGACGCATAAGTATATTCGACAAAGTGAAATCATTTTTTCACCGATTTATTATTAATGTTCCTCGTATTTACAAAAATGCAATGAATTATTAATAATGTTCAAATGTTAAAACAATCTTTATTTGTAAATGCAGAGATTCATAAACGTACATAAACTTTATGATTTGGAGCTAATCGTACGACTTTGCCATATATTTTAACATAAACGCTTCTGGTATATGCTACACGTCTGTTTCGCCCTCTGTGTTCATTTTTAACCTCTACGCTGAACGCACACGGGTCATTTCTTTTCAGAGATCTGGTCATCGTATATTTACAGATGCCCATAAAGTGAATCATCTGACCGTCATATGTTCTGTAATGAGGGTCACCGCTTGCACTACAGGTACACATCTCTACAAATGAGAGACATCGAGGCAGTCAAACATAAAATGTTAAAAGTTTACAAGGATAAACGGTTACGGATTTGTATTTACAAAGTGTAAAATTGAAATGGTTCAATAATTCTTATGTAAAAATCAGTTTTTGAAACAATTGTTTCATTGGTTATAAGAGAGAAACAATAGAACTCTAAAAGAATTCATACTTTCACAGCTGTTCTCCCCATCACCAAATAATCCACGCCTACACTGACACCTGCCCTTCTTACAAGTGGCTTTCTTGTGGCACCGATATTTACCACCACACAAAGCTGCAAGGTAGATCATATATATATGTACTACAGTATTTTTTTTAAATTAATAAATGATCAAGCAAATGTCAAGGGCGACATACTACTAAGCAATGAGCATCGATACAAACCTCAAGATTTTTTGGAAATATGACTTACGCTGGCAGGTTTTGTATCCATCCCCGTAGTACCCTTTTTTACACTCGCAACTTCTTTCACCATTCTCATCCAGACGACATTGGCCTCTCCGGTGACATCTGACGCCCGAGGAAGTTTTCACTAACACAGCTTTGCCACGAACCTTCTTACATTCAAATACTTCTGCACAGTTGGTGGCACGAATTTTGCTTCCAATCTGAATTAGAAAATAGAATGGCAAAATTGTTTCACCAGTTAATGCTGAAGCAGTTTCCAGCGTTTGTTAAGTATTTGTTGTTTATTACTTGTTGTGATGGCCCTAAACTCGTAAAAATTCAAATATTCACAAATTGTGTTTTGTTGAAAATCAAAAATATGTCAAGTTAAAAGTAGGTAAACTGGCTCCTTTGAGATTTTTTTTCTCTATCTTTATTACGAAGTATAACCGTTAGTTACCGGGAAGTAATCCCCTTTGTCATTTCTGCACCCACACTGCTCTTGTTTTACGCAAACTCCGTCACTTAGCACAAATCCCTCCCGACAGAAACAGCCTTCTGTTGGTTCTATAGTGCACGAGTCCTCAGCCTTTGGGTCCAGACAGGTGGCTGGACAGCCTGGGCCACTGCTTCTGTATTCCGCATTCTTGTCCTCACATTTAAAGGCTGCAAAATAGGGAGATTTATTTTTCCGATAATGGAATAAAAGATTAAATGCTATATATGCATGTTATCCAAATTAATTGAAATAGCAGATTAAAGTACCCAGTCAAATTTAAAGGTGCTTAGACACAGATTTGAACTTAATATTTTCTCAAATTTTCTGTATAATATCACGACTTATATATTGCAATAGCATTTCACACGAAAATATAATTAAAAACTTAGTTTATCTGGAAATTATTGGAACTACGAATTCCGGGACGCGTTTGATTAACACCTCTTTGCACTTACACAAATTTTAACTTTATCCTTAATATTTAAGAAAAGAAGCGATTTTGTTATGTATTAATGAAAAATATTACATCTGTAATCCAGAAAATTCAGAGTAGAAATGTTCAAAAGCAAAACCAAATCACCAGTATTGTCAGTCCGTGCTCTGTGATGTGTACAGAGTTTAACAAATTGAACACACCCGTGAAACGTAAACTGTTTTTGTAAACAGGGCACGAGCTCTGTTATTGTTAATGTTTACGATTCACCGGGTGTGTTCAATTGTTAAACTCTGCACAAACCACTGAGCACGGACTTATAAAATACTGTGAGTGGGTTTTGCTTTCGAACATTTATACTATGAAATTTCTGGGTTATAGTTTTACTATTTTCATTAATACACAACAAAATTGCCACTTTTCTCAAGTACTAGTATTAAGAATAAAATTAAAATATGTCAAAGCGCAAGGATGTGTCAATCCAACGCGTCCAGAAATTCGAAGTTTTAATAACTTGGAGATGAAATAAGATTTTTATTATATTTTAGTATGAAGTGCTATAGCAACATATAAGTCATGAAATTATACAGAAAATTTGAGAAAATATTAACTTCAAATCTGTGTCCAAGCACCTTTAAGGCAAATAACGTTTTGTGCATTTAATCACCAGGTTCCTATAATTCTTCTTCCTATAAACTTTTAAAGAAGATATTTAGAAGAATTACATATGTTAACATTCATAATTTTCCTTGCCGAAATAAATCATGGCATGCAATATATGGAGTTAACGAACAGTATTCAAGCTCAAAAGTCCATTAAACAATATAAATTTTGGAGCAGAGTAAACACGGACCTCTAAAACATCAGAGGTGGGATCAGGTGCCATGGAGGAGTGAACATCTAATCCCATCTCTGATGTTTTTAGAGGCCCGTGTTACTCTGCTCCCAATTTGTATTGTCCCAATGAACTTTTGACCTTAATTACTTTTCGTTACTTCATATTATATCTTTCAAGTACGGTTGCTATGAAGTTGTTGATAAAAACATTGGGTATTTTATAACTTCAGTGTCCATATGTAACATTGATAACTTGATAACTATTTGTGAGAATTCAAGAACCTTTGATAAGGTACCAATGGGAATTTCCGAAAATAGCTTAAACTCCCTCCCCCCGAAATTAATTACTTTTCTGCGAAAAAGCTATCAAAAGTAAATTTACGACAAAATGCTGTTGTCCTCCATTTGATCGTGATTCCGTTATCTGCGCAGTCCTCCGCAAACGCCTCCACTGCCTCACATTTGGCCACCTCTAGATTAGTTCCCTCCAATGAACACACATCAATCCGACACGATTCAAAGTACTCCTTTGCCATTTCTGGAAACTTGGCAATACATTCTGCGAATGGTCCCTTCTTGTTCTGGATCCAACCACAATATTTGTCAGTGGCCAACAGGTTACTCATTTTTGCATCGCACGTAAACGCATATGGTGTGTCCTGCTCAGTCTTACATCTAAACAAGTAATTATGAATTTAATGTTAATTTTACTGACATTTACAAATTTAAATAAGCCACTATTCATTTCGTGCACGACATAAATATAGTTACAGATTTCAAAAGGAGTGCTATATGAAAATTTCTGAGCAATATTTAAAAGCTATTGTTCATTATAACGTTGCAAGAGGACTAAAATATTATGTGAAGTACTTCTCTTCTCCAATATTTGTGTCGTCATCCACCTCATAGCTGTTTCCGATGAGAGAGTACCTTAATTTCTCCCTTCTGACGTCACGTCCTGTACTGGTTCTCATGTCGTCACGTTTACCGTTACAATCACCACACAGACCAGTTAGCTTCCCCCGGTACTTACCGGGAACTGTTACCGACACAGCATGTACACCGTCAAAGTTAACCTTTACTCCACACGAAGTCCAAATCTGGACAAAACGTCCACTTCTGAACACCTTCAGTCTTCCATCGAGTTCGCTTACTGGTAAAAACTTCTTTTCTCCGTCAATCTACAAAGATATTTAATGAATGGACCACGTGCAAATTAGTCATCAGAATCGTTGTAAGGATTTATTTGGTTCTAGGGTATGAATCCTGAATTTCAATCTCAATTTCTATAGTCTCAAAAGTGCTTTTATAAAATATTTTTATAAACAGTACGAATTAGACGTAGCTTTTGTTAAACAAAAACTTATGTCTCCCTCTTTTGCGTTAAAGTCAAGAAACACATTCCAGTTGTTGATAAAGTGCATTACAATCAACTGATCAAGAGTAAAAACCCAGACAAAATGACGTGATAGATAAACGGACAGAAAATTACAAAAAATACCCCCTTGTATGGGGAGGCAGCATTATAGATAACATACTGTAAACTGGACATATTATCCATGCAAAAAAGTTACCACTGCTAAACCCTTTAGACGTAAACTGATTCTCTTTCCTAAGATGTCCACATCTACTCTCCGAGTGAAGGAAACTCGTGTATTCTTGTTTCTGTGTTCATTTTTCACGGTGACCTGGAAGCCGCACGCATCATTTGGTGTCAGTGATTTCGTCAGAGTGTACTTGCATGTACCCATGAAGTGAATCATTTCACCGTCATACGTTTTATAGTGAGGGTCCCCGGACGCCATACAGAAACACGACTCTAACAATGTGAGAAGTATATGAATGATAATTATGGATACTTTCAATTAGTTAAGTGTTATTGTAGCTTTTGATCACACTTAAATTACTTACTTGTACAAGTGTTGTAACCGTCACCATGAAAACCTCGATTGCACCTGCATTTTCCTTTACGGCATGATGCATTCCTGGAGCATTGCCTTCCTCCGCAACTTGAAATTCTCAATTTTGCTGCAAAGAATGGAATAAAGAATTCACCCCTTTTACTCTCAGAAAAAATCACTTTAAAGTTTTATGTCCACAATTATACCGCAAACGTACGTCTGCAGGACCGGAATCCATCCCCGGTAAATCCTTTGTTACAAACACACGTTCTCTCGCCTTCTTTGTTCAGACCACATTTGGCGTTTTTATGACACCTCAGTCTTCTGGATACTCTAGTAAAAGATGACACTCCTCGAGAATTTCTACATACATAGGTGGATCCACAGTTAGAGCTCTGCAACTTGGTTCCAACCTGAAAAAATATAATTAGTTCATTGATTGTTTTTGCTTTACGTCCCTTGAAAGATTATTTCAGACATGTGAGACGTCATTGAATGTCAGTTAAGGGCTCCAAATTTAAACCCCAGTCACATTTCAAAAAACGACCATCGGCCGACGGTTTTTGAGGCAAAAAATGGGATTCCTCGGGTGACAGTCGGCACTTCATCGGCCGTTGTCTTGCCCGATTTTGACCTATTTTTTCGTTAGACGACCAATTTTGTGTCTGTCGGTCCCACTTATAATAATTTTTTCTGCGTCTGTGGCCGATTTTTTTTAATTGAAGTAGTCATTGAATAGTTCGTCGACTAACCCTCGATCATCAGCCAACCATCGGCAGGCAGTTTGTTTAGTCGGTCGGTCGATATTTAGGTATTGGGTTTTCGTAAATGTCGACCAGCGGCGAAAATCAAACTGCGTTTTCAGCGCTTGCTGATAGGGCGACGGTTGGTCGACATATGAATATTTAAACTTTTAAAATCATCGGTGTTCCTAGGAATTAATGTGACTGTTCCACAATGCCCGATATTAGTGTCGGCCGATCATGTTTTTTTCAGCTAAACATAGAGAAAAATTTGATCGCCCGACCATCGGCTTAAATGTGACCCAGGTATTAGACCTTAACTCGGAACTTAAAGTCATTGAGCAGCGAGGGATCTTTATCGTTTCAACGCATGTAGTGATACTGTGGAATCATTATATTTCATGGTGGCTCAATTTTCGTGGAATTCGTGCGTATCTCTCATCCACGAATTAACATCCTCCACGAATTAATAAATTAGGATTATAAAATCATATTTCCTTTTGTAGGTATAATGGAAAACACGAAATTACATCCCCATTAACCTGTAAGATATAAGCAATCCACGAAAATTGGCCCCCACGAATTTTAATGATTCTACAGTATGGGGCCTCAATATTTGATGTCTCATCCAAAAAGAACCGCAACTCTCACGTCGAAGTGCCGAAAGCTTAGCAAAGGAACTATTTTTTTTTTACTGAAGTTTATTCGACTTTGGTCTGTTGCCGCCAGACCTTGAACCTTTCACCTTTCGATCACTGAGCGAGCGCTCTAATGACTGTGCTACTGTGACGGTTGAAAAAGATATAATGTCATTCATGAAGTATATACAATGTAAAATATCTCTTGTCTCTTTTATAATTAAAGCATAAATGGCCATCTTGAAGAAGCACTGCAAATTTGATGTTTAATGATGATCGTTGCTACACGTAAAATTGAGGAAACGATCATTTATAGTATGTTCTACATTTTTCAATATTTGAAAGTGAGGCAAGTTTATGAAAATGATCAGTTACCGGGTAATAGTCGCCAGCTTTTGTTTTACATCCACACAGCTTCTGCGGAACGCAAGCTCCATCACTCATCAGATACCCGGCTTTGCAGAAGCATCCTTCTTGTGGTTCCAGCTCACACGTGTCCTCAGCATTAGGATTCAAACACGTGGCTGGACATCCCGGACCACTAGCTTTGTACTCAGAATTTTTGTCTGTACATTTTAGTGCTGAAAACAAAATAAATCCTCCTGTAAGAGTTAAGTGTATATAGAAAAAAAGATATATAGCTGTACCCTGCTGACTTTTTCATTTTATAAGATGTACCTTGAATAATAGTTAAACCAATATCAATTTGTCCATCCCTGGACGTTTTCTGTGTTTGCAAACTTTACTTAATATCAGTAAACTACCTTATATGTATATATTTAAGTTCGTTTTCATTCTTTGATTTCATGACTTAAAACACATTAATTCTAATAAAATGATTTAAAAAAAATACACTTACGACAAAATGCTGTTGTCCTCCATTTGACAGTGATTCCGTTATCTGCGCAGTCCTCCGCAAACGCCTCCACAGCCTCACATTTGGCCACCTCTAGATTAGTTCCCTCCAACGAACATACATCAATCCGACACGACTCAAAGTACTCCTTTGACATTTCTGGAAACTTAGCTATACATTCCGCAAATGGCCCTTTCTTGTTTTGAATCCAACCACAATACTTATCTGTGGCCATCAGAGTACTCATCTTTTTGTTACATGTAAAAGTGTTTGGGTCTTCCTCAAATGTTTTACACCTTAAAACATTATGATAATGTTTGTTATAAAAATGTTATTAATATTTTCTGAATAGAACAATTAATTATTGAAAATGTAGTGCATTTTGGTGTATCTTTTAATTATTCCTAAAAGACTGAAATACAATGTGAAGTACTTCTCTTCTCCAATATTTGTGTCATCTTTCACCTGGTAGCTGTTTCCGATCAGCGAGTACCTCAACTTCTCCCTCCTGACGTCACGCCCTGTACTAGTTCTCATGTCGTCACGTTTACCGTTACAATCTCCACATAGACCAGAAAGCTTTCCCCGATATTTACCTGGCACCGTTACCGACACAGCATGTACACCATCAAAGTTTACCTTTACTCCACACGATGTCCAAACCTGAACAAATCGTCCACTTCTGAACACCTTCAAATTACCGCCAAGTTCACTGATAGGTAAGAATTTCTTCTCTCCATCAATCTGCAAATGGTTGGTTTTATGTCGTTAAAGTCTTCAGCTCAACAGGGTGATGATAATGTAAAAACAAGAGACCCACAACGCCCACCGCTGTCATTTCTTTTGCACATCAATAAAACGCCATATTTTAGCAATTCGTTTCAAGTCAATTACATTTTCATCAATTTTATGTAAAGTTTACTGAGCTTTCATGAAAGTTTTGCAATTTGTAACCTTGTTTTTAAAGAAATTGATATTTTTTGAGTTAGACTGGAGAGATTTGTAAACTTATTCCGTGAATATTGTACTATAATACATACACATATATTATACTTGCTGAACACTTCATATGGATTGGTTGTTCACTCTAATAGATAACTTACTTCTGCAGTTCTTTCGAAGAATATTTTTGAATATTTAACATAGTACATATTCAAATACATGTACATGTATGTTACAATTTGATTAATAATTTCTTTGATCCCCTGGCCTACATAAAGATAATTGTCGTCATGTTTTTCCTCAAGACTGCATTTTTAAAGATTTGTCCCTATATTTCTATATATGTGAAGCTATGTCACCCTAAGTTTGGAAGCATGATGTAAACAAACATGAGTCTACATTTCATGAATTCCTGATTAATATGACTAAATACTTGTGTTACTATTCACACATATATACTTGTGTTACTATTCACACATATATACAAGACAATTCTTAAGCAGGAAAGAACACTTGAGCTTCTGGTTCAAGTGAGCTAAAACCAAAAGTAGCTAGTAACCGTCAGGATAGCCTACCAGTACATCTCCTTTCAGTCGTAGACTGACTCGCTTCCCGAGAGTATCAATGTCGACCTGACGAGTATAAGCCACATGGGTTTTCCCGTTACGATGTTCATTTTTCACTGAGATATGAAACCCACATTTATCACCTTTAGTCACTGATTTCGTCAAAGTGTACTTGCACGTTCCCATGAAGTGGATCATTTCTCCGTCAAAGGTTTTATAGTGAGGATCTCCAGATGCCATGCAGAAACATGATTCTAAAATACAATCGAGAATATGATTTGCAAAAAGGGTTATTTATAGAGATGTTTTGAAGAAAGAAACTTACTTGAATTATGCTGTCAAAATTAAATATACCTACTTTGACATGAATTGACGCCATCCCCGTGGTAACCTCTCTTGCACACACATTTCCCTTTCAGGCAGTTGGCATTCTTATCACATTTTCCACAAGTCGGTGTATTCACTTTAATAATATTAAGATACATGTAGAGTTGTCTTAGTGATTGCTACTTTCGAATATATTCAAAATAAATCAGAAAGCATCGATAATTTGTCATCATTCTCTTTATGAAGATGATGTTTACTTGAACGTGCATTAATGATCTGCCCCCTAGTACATTGCAGTACACAGGATAAAAATTGCTTTAAGGATCAGATTTTAGAATATACATACACTGATACACGTTCATCCTCCACGCAGCTCCACATTTTTCTTTGGAATTCCCACTACAAGGATAGGAACATTCTCTGTCAGCTTTCTTCGGGTATCTCCTCATAGTATTACCACAGAAACACTCATTACGGTGCTGAAAAAGAATACAGGTATGGGTATTGTAGAAATATTTTGAAAAAGTCATGTTATTTTTGTTGCATAAATGTTTGATTTTTTTCTGACAGTTACCTGTACTCCAGCGTACTTTTTCCCTCGTTTTCTACAAAGTTCCTTACAAGAAGATATTGTTAATTTAGTCATTCTGATAAACGTTTGATCCAGAAGACGAAGTCGACGATCTTCATAACAACCGAGGTAAACATCTACAAAAGAGAACGGGAAAACTAAACTAGTTTTATAAAAACATGCATTAAGTAGTATTGTAAGTTAAAGCACCATAGTTTTTTGTGTGGTGATAAAATTACGGTGTGTTCTGAATTGGCTTGTACCTTTTGAAGGTCTCTGTATTTGAGGTTCCTCTTGCAACACTGGAGGCTTCCCTGGAAATAGAGATTCCCTTATGTGTTCGATCATACCGGTATTACATTTCATCATACTATCTATAATATGCGTTTTACATTGTCTTGATGAATTTGTTATTCATCCTAGTCTAAAATGCAAATTGGCTGACAAACATTTAGACATTTACCAGGTTTAAATCGCCAAATTCCAAAAGCGCCAAATCCAGTGGATATTCCGATGACGTTAGTTTTGTATGGACGGGGGTCCTTCCATCTCATGAGGACCTGTTGTTCACATATTCCTCCGCGACCTACCTTGATTTCACCTCTGACCCAGGTGATCCAAAACGGTCTAAATTCCTTACAACTCAATAACCCACTTCTGAAGGACGCCCTTGGGGGACCTTGCTTTGTGTTCCGTATCACAGATTTACTGTTTCTCCAACCGCCAATTACAATCTCGTAAAAGTTTTTGGTCTGTTTTGTCGAGTCCATGATTGCAATGTGGGCGTCGTTACACGACAATACCTCAAACTGGAAACAGGTTCTGTCTTTTGCGGTGATACCATACTTAGTCAGAAATTGATAGTTATAACTGTTGGGTGTCTTCACTGTGACAGTTTTTGGAACTATGGAATGAAAATTTCGGTTTAAAAACGAGTGAGATTCTTCCGTTTTTATTCGACTTCTTTGTATAAAATTCTATAGAACGTGGAATACGTACTATATAGTATTTAAAACTAATCTCACCTGATGTCCTTAGAGGTTTGGATGGTGTTGCTGAAAAGAAAATTAAATAATGTCAAGTACAACAATAGGAAACAAACTTATCAATAAATCTATAACATACACATAAAAAAATTAATATTTTTTGAAGATATATGGCTTCTTACCTTGGCAACTGTAAGTGAAATCAAGATACTTAAATGTCCCCTTGCACGGGTCTCCAAACACGGTATTGGAGGCATATAGTTCACAGGACTGTTTTCCATCGCAGTGACCCCTTACTTTTGCAAGAGCATTCTTAGATGCGCATCTCAGAGTTCGAATTTTGCCTCTACAAATTGATCTACTGGATCTCCCGTAGTTTGCTGCGAGTATTCTCAAACGTGATCCTTTGGGACAGGATATTTTTCTTTTTGAACGTTCGCAGACAATGAGTTTTGTTGAACCTGAAATTTAAGAACAGAATCAGAGAGTAGTATCTTACGTTGCTTATTCTAGATTACTAATTCAATTCAGGAGAGAATACTCAAATTGATTCAATTCATTATAATGTTCCATTCATACAAGTTTGTCTCATTCTTACTCCGAATTTCTTTAATTTTTCGGACAATGCTTTCTTGACTTTTTCCTCTACTTTCACGGCTTTCCCCTCCGCTTTTATCACTTTCCCCTCCGCTTTTTCCTCTGCTTTTATCACTTTTCCCTCCGCTTTTTCCTCTGCTTTTATCACTTTTCCCTCCGTTTTTTCCTCTGCTTTCATGACTTTTCCCTCCGCTTTTTCCTCTGCTTTTCCCTCCCCTCCCTTCACTTTTTCCTCGGCTTTTTCCTCCGCTTTTATCGCTTTTCCCTCCGCTTTTTCCTCTGCTTTCATCACTTTTCCCCCCGCTTTTCCCTCTGCTTTTCCCTTCCCTTTCTTCACTTTTCCTCCTGCTTTTTCCTCTGCTTTTTCTTCCCCTTTCTTCACTTTTTCCATGGCCTTTTCCTCCCTTTTTTAGTATGTTTTCTTTGTTTTCCCCTTCCTTTTCTTTTCTTTTTCTCCTTTTTATGTCACTTTTCCCACCGCTCTCTTTACTTTTCCCTCCTTTTTTGTCAATTTTCCGTGCTTTTTCTATTCTTTTCTTTATGTTACTTTTTCCTCCGCTTTTATCGCTTTTCCCTCCGCTTTTTCCTATGCTTTCAACACTTTTCCCTCCGCTTTTCCCTCTGCTTTTCCCTTCCCTTTCTTCACTTTTCCTCCTGCTTTTTCCTCTGCTTTTCCTTCCCCTTTCTTCACTTTTTCCTTGGCTTTTTCCTCCCTTTTTTAGTATGTTTTCTTTGTTTTCCCCTTCCTTTTCTTTTCTTTTTCTCCTTTTTATGTTACTTTTCCCACCGCTCTCTTTACTTTTCCCTCCTTTTTTGTCAATTTTCCGTGCTTTTTCTATTCTTTTCTTTATGTTACTTTTCCAGCTATCTAGTTTAGTTCTTATTACTTTATTATCCAATTTTGATCCAATTTCTTTTCTGTTTACATCTGGTTCTTTACGTTTCCCATCGTCTTTTTGCACTTTCCCTCCGCTTTGTTTAGGTTTTCCTCCTTTCCCCCTCTTTTTCTTCCCTGGAATTTTGAGAAAAGTTTGTGCTAAAATACATATGCCTACTAGGGATGTGCGATTTTATCGGTAAACCGGTATATCGTGATTTTTAATTGTGTGATACGCATCATGATACGGAGATAAAACTACCGGTATTTAGGTACATTGTTAAAAATTCCAGAAAATATTTATTATTTGTTCAATCTTTCAAATTACAATTTCAGGAAGTGTAAAGAATGTTGAAAACGAACGCGACAAAGAAAGACATCCTAGTATCTAAAATTGTCCTAGTGTCCAAAAAGTTGAAGTTATGTTTTTTCTAGCATATTTTTCGGGAAAAATTACGAATATTCATCTAAAATCATTGTAAAATTGCTTGTAAAAATATCATGATATTATCGTGATATTTTAGGGGGAAATCGTGATATATCGCAATACGAAATTTTTGGTGATACCCATCCCTAATGGCTACCTTACAAAATTTGATAAATAAATTCCGTGGTGTTTAAAAAACAAAGGAGATAAGTACTAATTTACCTTCTACTTCAGCTACTATAATCAGGACCGTGAGGAGGAGAAGAATAATGTAGAGCCTCATTTTGTTGCGACATCTAACGGCTGATCAGCCTTGGGGTCAGACAACTCTTATATAACCCTGCAACAAAGAGTGTCCGACGGGGACCTTATGATGCAAACATATGTTCGAGTAGAAAAACAGTTCATCAAAGAAAGTGGTGTTAAAGTAAATGTTATAGTTTAATTTTCCCAACTTTACTTTTGGAGTATAATTGAAAAAAGAGTATATTCCATTTATTTTAAAGGAAAATAATTAAGCTTGTATAAGTTTATTAATTCTAACCTGCATTCACCCCTGAATAATTTGATACTTTTCTCGCCATCAGCATCTGGGGTGTTAGAATAAACAAACCCAACAAAAAGATGGATACTTCATTGTGACATTCTCTGATCTTTTGAAGAATTGTAGAAAATAAACATATTTTGAGGTTCTTTTATGTTGATTAATTAATGGCAAATACAAGCAGCTGTTAGAAGACAAAACGACATAGTCACAAATGGGCGAAGAGTGCGTAATTTAAAGTATCCGAAGCTGAATCGATCAATCACTGTTGTTAGCTTTATTAGATTTGACATACTATACAAAGTCAATTTGCTACATTGCACTCAGAAGATTCTAAGAAAACAAAACTTCTATTTAAGGTGATTTTTTTTTAAAAAAAAGGAAACTTAAAATTTTCTCTTCAATAACCGTTCATAATGTATGTGTAATTACACCTATGCATTGAGGGGTAACAACCCACTGCTCTAAATTTTATCCCCCAAAAATTTAAAATTCCCAATTCCCTTCTTTCGATTTTCGTCAACAACAATAGCACTAGATTCAAATGAAAATGGGTATAAAGTATGAAGAAAATTTGACACAGTGAATAGAAAGAACAATAATCTATTATCGCAACATAAATTGAAAATATAAGGTATATATGAAAATACTTAGGTCCATAAATATTAAATTCTCATCAGAAAACATAATGAAGCTCTGTTTATCACTTTGTTATCTGTGCTTGCATAAAAAAAACACATTCATCAGCAAACTTTTTTCTTTCTTTAAAATATTTTTTATGTAAAAAAGTACTAATAATGAAAAAATTATACATACATGTATCTTGCGTGACAAATTACTATAGTTTTTAAATGTGTTTATAAAGAGATAGAAATATATAAATTTGTAGCAGTTAAAGAATTGTTTTAGGTCAAATGTTATCAATAACTATCAAAAATATTAGCTTAAGAAAATAGAAGTCAATGTTTGCGTCTTACATTGAATGGACTCACTAGAGAATGGTCTCCATTATTAAGTTCTGGTAAGACCAACATTGGGATAGATTGGGCTTATTTCCTGGGAAGTTATCTCTCTAACCAGATGGTCGTTTCACCTTAAGAACTAAGATTTAACTTTAGGTTTTTTAAAAAATGTTTCACTATGCAGGAAAGCAGTGCCTCAGAAGAGCCTTATACTGATCAACATTTATACTTCTCAGTCAGTAAATAACACACACGGCTCAAACTTCAGGATTCCCATACTTACTGAAAATATATTACCTTCTTTCGAGAGCCGAGAAAGATGTCGTTCGAAATAATGTGTCCCGACAAAATAAGAATGAACCACTTTATTAGAATGATTACTAATCAAGAAAATAAGGTGAGTTTATATGACTAATGTGATTTACAAACCTGTTATGTAATAGAGATAAAAGATTGATAGATTTTGTCTCTCCAGAACAAGAGTCAAAGTGGAAAGTGTCGACTAGATTAATAATATTGCTATTTCATATTTGGGTAATGTAGTATTTCATGCATTTTAAAACCTAAAGTTAACAAGAGGCCTAGGGGCCTTAACGGTCACCTGAGTATAATACAACACTGTAAAGGATCCATAGAAGTATAAAACAAAATTAACTGATAAACGAAGCAATGTTGCCCAAGAATTTCAAAAATCTGGTAAAAATATCCTTGCTTATTGTAACGTGCTAGACCCGAGTGATCTCCTTGGGATCATACTTGGTTTTCCAAGTCTTACAGGGATGATAATGAATGCAAAATATACAAACACAATGGACACTTGCCTATTGTGTAAGGTATTCAATATATACAGAATGATAGATTTTTGTCACTTGCATAGTGCTACAATTAAGTACACACGGACTTGGGTACACAACTTGGCTATTTGCCACTTGTCACAAATTACAATAAGTCACCCTGGCTCTCTCCGATTCTTTGTTTGATAAAGTATAAAACAGCGATATCCAGTCTCTTGTCAACCTTGACTCTTCTACCAGTGACAGTATCTTAGATCACCACAGTGTAAACATACTGTGTACAATTACAACTTTTGCTAAATATATCTAAATAATCTTTGTCAATCTTTTATACTGCTTTCCATGCAAGAATCTGACTTTGAGCATACTTTGCTCATTTAAACCAAAAATTCATTTTTATTTTGTTTCTATATATATATAACATTCTTTCTTGCATTCTCATTCAATCAAATCACCTGTTAATTATAAATTATATACAAGGAATCCTTGATTAACAACATTTAGGAAAAAGGAGTAATTCTCATTTGCTTCACTTATCACAATTGTGTACGCTGTTTGACGACAGACGAAAACAGATAGCAATAGGTCAACTGAGTGACTCAGGTGACCTAAAAATAGCTAAAAAAAAAAAAAAAAAAAGAAAAGAAAGAAAGAAAAAAAAAAAGAAGAAGAGATATTCGTATTGTTTTCTCGAAGGTCAAGATCAAAATTGCTCTTGTTCTCACATAGCTGTAGAACTGAAGCTCGCTGGTCTGAATAAATTTGGATGGATGGTCGTGCATCCCATTTTTTTTTCAGACCAGCGAGCTACCGATCTGTAGCTAATTCTCACGTACTATTTTTTTTATGTGAAAAAAAACTTTCTACTTGTAAATTTCTTTACAATAAAAAATAACACAAATGAAAGAACGAGAGAGTCAAAAGCATAAGTAAAGTGCAGAATAAATATTCATAAATGAACGCATTGGGGCCCATGTGATTTTATCAATGTACTAGTTACGCATTAAACAGTTTTGAATTTAACCAGTTTCAGTTTTTTTCCATGGCTACAATTGACCCTATATTGTACTGGGGCCCGTTTTACAAAAGAACTTACGACTAAGACCAAAAACTTTAGTTGATTGTATAATCTTGCAAAATAAAATGTTTCTGTTCAAAATAGTTTCGTTCAACCAGGTCACTCGGCTGTCTCCGTAACCTCCGAGGAGCAGAGAGTCTGGTAAAGACTTAGATAGCGTTTGTAACCGACAGAGGGCGTTACCTTGTTTTCATTTTGATGACCCATTTGAAAATGAATGTTATTTAAATGTTTCTTCTGTTAGATTGTGATTTTATATTAATAAACTGATCCTTCATTAGGGTTATCAAAGGAGAAATAATAATAACAATCGATGAAATATGTTCTACGCCGGTATGGTACACTACTTTCACTTTTGCTTCTGACAATAATTTTTGCATATCAGTGTATAACACACTCACCCATAACCGGTGGGGAACACCGCAAATAATCCCTTTCTAACTGCTATAACTTGTAGATATTTAACTTTTAAATCTTAAGTTTTTCTGCCGATTTACATGTATTTGATTCAATTTTGGAGGTGTTCTTTTCAGCCAATCAAGAACTTTATCAGAATTTCGGTAAACCTCGTTTTGGCGTTACAGTCTTTTATCAGACTCTACTCGTCGGGGTTTAGGGAGACAGCCGAGTGTCTGGTTGAACGAGACTATGTTCAAAATTGCTGGCATAAGATTGTCGCTCTAAATTCTTTTTAAAAATATTATAACCAATTTTAAATAAATGTAATAAAGAAAGTTATTCACAAAGTTACATTTTTATCTTAGGCGTAAAGGTTCTTTTGTAAAACGGGGCCCTGTAACCCTTACTTCAGATTCCTGAATATTGTAAACAAAACTTGGATGAATACATCAATTCCTTCTGGGCCTTTTGGGCATCTAAATATAAAATACTACCTCCTTAGGCGAGGAGAAATATGTTTTATTTCGCAAAAAATAGAAAAAATGAATTATTGTAAGTTAAGTCACTCGAATTCCGAAAAAAAGATGGTCGTATTTGGCGTGTGATCTGCAGGATTCATGTGTATGAAACATTTATAGTTTAAGGTAGTCTGGGATACCTGGAAATAACATGTCAAATTTTAATATTTAGGTCTGCTTATCTTAATAATCAAACTACAACATAGTAATGCTTCACATAAATAATAAATACCTCCGAGATAGTAAGGGTATAGTTAATAAATTTATGCAATCACACGTACATGTGTACATTTAAGTATCAGTAGCTTGGAAGAATTGCTTTCGCATTCGATGCAACAGAACCAGATTTTATCCTTTTTAAAATAAATCAGTACAAAAAAAAAATTAAAGTGACAAAAGAATTGATTGTTTGCATTAAAAAAAAATTATTAACGCTCCATGCGAGGGTCGAACTAAAAAAATTTCGACTCCATTGCACTGAACGGTAGCTACTGAGCTATCATCGCTACGCATACAACTTGGAATTTAAAACGATAATGAAGCACCGCATTTACACATTGAATTTTGGGGGGGGGGGGGGAGCTCATTTTTTATGGTCTCTGCCGGGGTCTTCTCTCCATTTTTTTTTTTTTAAACAAATGATTATTTCTTTGAATTAGAATGCATACAAATTACATTTGAAAATCATGGAGAAATGACCCAGAGGTAGCAAATTTTTAGAAAAACGTGCTTAAAAATGTGAAATTTTGTACCAAATGAATCATCTAGCCTATTTTCAAATTACATTTTAGCAATCAACCAGAAATAGTCTTCTACATCACATCTTTCGCAAAAACATGTTTCTCATGATGTATCAGTAATTCATTTGTTCAACCTTCGCAGAGATAATGAACGGAAGGCAAATAATTGGAATTTTTCTAAGTCCAAGGGGCATAACTCTGTCAAAAATTGCTCGATCGTACCCAAAACAAAACTTTACCTAGATATTCTTATGATAAATATGTATTCCAAATTTCATTTCAGTATGTGCAACCTCTGCAAAGAAAATAAACGGAAACTGCAAATAATTGGAATTTTTCTTAGTCCAAGGGGCATAAATCTGTCAAAAATTGCTCGATCCTACCCAAAACAAAACTTGACCTAGATATTCTGTAATGTTTTTGTTTTTTAATATGTAAATACGTTACTGTTATAAATAAAAGATGAATTGAATTTTTGTTGTGTGAAAGGCCCTAACCATGGAGTCTGATTAGTGCCCTAATCTTGGAGCCTAATTAGCGCCCTAATCATGGCGCCTAACAGATGTTCTAAATGTATTAGGTGTCTTGACACCTAACAATGGTGCAGCGGCCCTAATACTTAGAGCCTAATGCCTTAACAGGTGCCCAAATCATGGAACCTAAAGCCCTAACAGGTGCCCTAATCATGGAGCCTAACGCCCTAACAGGTGCCCTAACTATGGAGCCTAATGCCCTAAAGGGTGCTCTAATGACGTTAGGTGTTAGACAGAGTATATATAAGGAGAGAGAGATAGTGAACAAAACATATAGCTTGTACTTGGTTTGTAAACTGTGATTGGATATTATTATATTCGTTGAATCAAAACTCTGCTGTTGTTTTTTTTTTAATTAGATCTATAAAGATCTATAGTTCCTAACTTGAACACAGGATCCACAATATTTTGTGAGGGACCTTGTGAATAGTCACTTCTTAAGGACTGGTTCTTAGAGCTATTGTTCGGATAAACCCCTAGAACTTCACAGTCAGATCAAAAAGTAAAATAGGAGGTCACAATAGTACTATATAATAAAGATTCTGTGAAAGTATCATTAAATTTTATTCAGTGGTATAGGAGGAGTTGCGGATAAGAGACGGGTACCCATTCAATATTATAGAAAGAATGGCAGTGTCTATGTTTTGCTATTGGAAACCCGAAATATGTGTCCAATCAAAAAGTAAATAAGGATATACACAATGGCTCTATGTAACAAAGATTCTGTGAAAGTCTCATTAAATTTTATTCATTAGTATAAGAGGAGTTGCGGATAAGTAATGGGTACCTCAAAGCATAACAAATGGACGGACACCCCCATCACTATATATACACCCCCTGCTTTTCAAGCAGAGGGTATAATAACTTCTGGAGATAGACAGGTGAAGGGTAAGCCTGTTTTTTCTTGATTTCACTGGATGAGGACCTGCCCATGAATTTTTCATTAGAATATCAGAATATTTAGAATATCACCACTTAAATTTTGATTTTTAACAATTGATTCTAGATAATTCCATATGTCCCAATATCTTGCATGATAATAAATCTCACTGGGACCCCTGGTCTTTGTAAGCAAAAGATGACAAAAACAACAGAACATAAAGTCAAACAGAGTTTTTATTTGAAAAAATGAGATATCGTTTGTGTAAGTCCTGCATTATTTTTTAACTTTTTCATTACTTTTTTTGGTGATTTACCACTACATCCTAATGACCTTTTCCTCTGTCCACTGCTTTGAGCTGACTGTCCACTGTTTTTATCAGAGGTCCAAGACAGTTCTTTTTGAAGTTCCTTGGCAAAATGATAGTCTAGGTGCTCTGTCATCTCAGATTTCTCAATCTGTTTATTGCACTTCTCACAAATGGCCAGGTTCTTTCCTGCTTCTTCTGAATTTTCTAAATTAGAGACAGAAGAATCTTGCTTGTTCAGGAATTTTTCAAGACTAGTTCTGTCTTTCTGTTTTTGAACTAGATATTCCTTACATTGGTTATCTACAGGTGGAGCGGGCACAGAACTCACTTGACTCAAAACTTCCTCTCTGATCTCAGGAGGAAGTGCTGCTATAAAGTCAGGATCCACTGAATTCTGGGAAATTTTATTGTCTATACTAGCATCTTCAACACTGTTCATTTCACTCATATGTTCAAAGTTTGACCGTTTCCTGTCTTGCGTTCCAACAGGAGTTGAATCTTTTGGTAAATTATGAACTAAATCATTCTTTAATTTTCTTGTTGCAAAAAATCTGTGAGGACTATGATTCTTCTCATTGTCAATCAATTGTTCAGATGTAACATCTGATTTTTTGAGAGTTAAATCTTTCTCAGGTAAATCTAAAACATTCCCTTCATCAAAATTTTTATTTTCTTGGGATTGCTTTTTGGGGTGAGTGGACTTTGAAGAGGAATCCCCCTGTTCATGTGTTATAGAGTTCTGTTGATCTCTAGTACTGTCATTCTGACTGGAAGTTATCACTGAGCAGTCCTTTCCTCTCCTGAAGAAGCTAGCGATGGTTTTAGTCTCTGATTTTGGAGGTGTGGCTTCTGACTGACTTGCTGAGATAGAGCCTAATGTCTTCTGTCCCACAAAGAAAGACAGTGTTGATTGGTTGTTACTCTCGTCAAGAAACTTTGTGGCTGACACTCCTAAGCAAAGAATAGGTGGTGACCTGAAAATTATACATACATTGTAAATACTGGTAATTGATGTTTAAATAAGTTTATGTTTTTTTACTCTAGCATGATTTTTCTTTTAATATTCTCTTGCATTACACAGTTGAATATACCAGCATTTTCAATATGTAGCATGATTTCAATCCAGTATATATTAGATGGAAATAAAAATTAACAAGCATTCTGAGAGTATTGCATTAGCAATACTAGTCCCCTACCGGCAAGTGTAATCTGGTTCCCGTAAAAATTGAAAATGCTATAATTCCGTCAAAAATCAATGAAGCGGGATGAAATGCAAACTTGATCTATAACTAATCAAGGTAAAGTCACATACCAAAAATCAGCTCAATATCTGCAAGCGTTTAGAAGAAAATTGCGGAAAACCCCTAAAAATTGAAAAGGTCGTAATTCCGTCAAAAATCAATGAAGCGGAATGAAATGCAAACTTGATCTGTAACTCATCAAGATACACTCACATACCAAAAATCAGCTCAATATCTGCAAGCGTTTAGGAAAAAAGTGCGGAAAACCAAGTGGGACAGACTGATAGAGGGACAGACAGACAGACAGCTAGACAGACAGACGGACAGACAGAATGGACGGACAGACTCAGAGGAAACCTATAGTCCCCTCCAGTTTCACCGGTAGGGGACTAATAAAAAGCTTGTAGGGAGAAATACTTCAAAATGTTCCTACATGGTTATTAAATCCTTATCCTGTTTTCCTCTAATACCATCATACATACCACGCACTCTGATGAGCTGGAGCATGATTAAGTTTCAGAATCAAGGCATAGGCATCATTGGCAAACTTCTCGGCATCATATTTAGTCACAGCGCAGGCTCTACTGGCTACGATGGGGGAAGGGTTACTCATGTATCGCACACTGACAGTCATAGACTTGGCCACACGATTATTCTGAAAGGTCATGTAAATTTGACGTAAGATTTACAACAGTGTGAATAATGACTATAGACAACGATAGTTCTTAGGTATTATTAAAGGATTTATATTCACTTTGAATTTGTTTTCTCTCTGATATCTCAAAGTATATGTACAACATGATCAATACGCAATGCTCGAAAATATTGTTTTGACAAATAAATTTGACATTTGAAAACAACTATACTTTGCATTAGATACAAATGTAAAAAACCTATAGTCCCCTCCGGTTTCACCGGTAGGGGACTAATAAAGTGCATTGCCACGGCATATGATACACCTATCAAATATTAATTATCATCTGTCAGCATGGAAGAAAATATCATTCTTGATACAAAGATTTCAATGGTTTTTTACATTCCTATAAATGTTTGATTTGCATCTCCTATGCTGTAGTTATTAATTAGAACAAATAGTACATAATATATTTCTCAGCTGGCTGTGCTGGAGTTACACAAATGCCCATCTGCAGCTTTGTTCATCAATGATGAACAAAGCCATTTGCTTGAAAACAGCCATAATTTGGTGATTAATTGCCTGTAATATAGAGTCTCTGCAGTAAAAATCTCCACTAGCTAGATAGCAGGTCACATGGTACTGAAACACCATAGGTGTCAATGGTGAATCAGAACTCAAATCTAGCCTTCTAGTTTTCTTATACTGAATTCAATAATTCTTGAAACATCTTAAAACATGGTGAACATTGTCCTATCCATGGTGAATGGCTCATTCCAAAAAATTCATTTCTTGATGATATTTTCTCATCAAATAGCATAATATTTAGTTGGTAGGGATATTTCTAGAACTTGTTCCAGTATGAGGGTGTCTGATGCATGGTTAACTCACCCTAAATATTATATTTGTTATATATGTCTGTAGAGTATACATGTATCATGTATTTTCTTGATTTATCATTTTCAAATAAGGTTACTCCAATACTCTTATATCTGTAAGGATTATGTCTCTTAAACACATATTTTTTTTAAAAATATCACCTTAAAGGTCACAGTGACCTTAATGTAGGGTGTGACAAACCCTCTACCTAGGGTGCATTAGTATGATAATTGTATGTCTAATAGTTTTCCAGGTATTAGCCAGACAGGGTTTTGTCATATTTGGCCATATTTTCTAAATTAAAGGTCACAGTGACCTATTTCTAATGTGCAACATACTTTCTTCTCAAGATGTATCAGCATACACAGTTTAATTATTCTAGGCCTCGTAATATTTTAGCTATGAGCCGGACATGAAAAAGCTAGCAGACAGACAGATGGATGGACATGAACACCATACCATAATACATCCAATCTTAAGATATAAAGTGTATAAACAAGAGGCCCATGGGCCACATCGCTCACCTGAGTAACTTTGGCCATGCTGTTCTTTACCAGATTTCCACCCTTTTAATATACCTATTGTGGCCCCGCCCTACCCCCGGGGGTCATGATTTGAACAATTTAGAATCTACACTACCTCAGGATGCTTCCAAATAAGTTTCAGCTTTATTGGTCCAGTGGTTCTTGAGAAGAAGATTTGTAAAGATTTTTCTTATATATTTCAATGTAAAACTTGGATTCCCTACTGTGGCCCCGCCCTACCCCCGGGGGTCATGATTTGAATAATTTATAATCTACACTACTCCAGGATGCTTCCATATAAGTTTCAGCTTTTCTGGCCCAGTGGTTCTTGAGAAGAAGATTTGTAAAGATTTTTCTTATGTATTTCAATGTAAAACTTGGATTCCCTATTATGGCCCCGCCCTACCCCGGGGGTCATGATTTGAACAATTTATAATCTACACTACCCCAGGATGCTTCCATATAAGTTTCAGTTTTTCTGGCCCAGTGGTTCTTGAGAAGAAGATTTGTAAAAATTTTTCTTATGTATTTCAATGTAAAACTTGGATTCCCTATTGTGGCCCCGCCCTACCCCCGGGGTCATGATTTGAACAATTTATATTCTACACTACCCCAGGATGCTTCCATATAAGTTTCAATATTTCTGACCCAGTGGTTCTTGAGAAGAAGATTTGTAAAGATTTTTCATATATATTTCAATGTAAAACTTGGATTCCCTACTGTGGCCCCGCCCTACCCCCGGGGTCATGATTTGAACAATTTAGATTCTACACTACCCCAGGATGCTTCCATATAAGTTTCAATATTTCTGACCCAGTGGTTCTTGAGAAGAAGATTTGTAAAGATTTTTCTTATATATTTCAGTGTAAAACTTGGATTCCCTACTGTGGCCCCGTCCTACCCCCGGGGGTCATGATTTGAACAATTTAGATTCTACACTACCCCAGGATGCTGCCATATAAGTTTCAGTATTTCTGGCCCAGTGGTTCTTGAGAAGAAGATTTTTTAAGATTTTTCCTATATATTTCAATGTAAAACTTGTATTCCCAATTGTGGCCCCGCCCTACCCCCGGGGGTCATGATTTGAACAATTTATAATCTACACTACCCCAGGATGCTTTCATATAAGTTTCAGCTTTTCTGGCCCAGTGGTTCTTGAGAAGAAGATTTTTTAATGACCCCACCCTATTTTTGTCTTCTCTTGATTATCTCCCCTTGTGAGGGGACTTGGCCCTTCATTTTAACAATTTAAATTTCCCTTCACCCAAGGATGCTTTGTACCAAGTTTGGTCAAAATTGGCCCAGTGGTTCTTGAGAAGAAGTCAAAAATGTGAAAAGTTTACAGACGGACGGACAGACAGACGGACAGACAGACGGACAGACGGACGGACGGACGACGGACAAAATGTGATCAGAAAAGCTCACTTGAGCCTTCGGCTCAGGTGAGCTAAAAAAGCAATCTTGAGTTACCAATTCTTTGTCTTTGATCAGCCTTTCTTCCACTTCTTTGGAGAGTTCTAATAACCAGAATTTTACCTGAACAAAAATAAAAGTTTTCTATGCATCTCCTAATGGAGAAATAAATTCTTCTATAACCTATCAACTCTGTTGATGGTTAGTTTGAAGTAGGGCTTTCTGACTCCCTAAGAAAAAGCAGGTCTATTTTCCTACTTAAAATAATTCTAAACTGTTATATAATACATGCACTCCGTACAATTAAGACCATACTACTGCATCAATTGTATAAAACATAACAGGTTTGCCAATTACCAACAATTTGTAAATTACCTTTACCACACATAAACTGACAAAAATAAAATACATCTTTTAAATTATCTAAAGAGAGCAGGCTGTATACTTTATCTTTCGTGTCCAGACATGTTTTTCCTGGGAAGTTCTTGCTGCATCCAATGGACTTTGGCAGCTGTCTGGCTGACACTGGTTCATGTTCAACTCCTCGACAAACTTCATACAACCAGGCCCTGTAGAATTCAACCTCACATTTCCACTATGTCACATTTCCAGGAAGGGAACATTAAATATACATATTTTAAATGCACCTTTACATGATTACTATATCTGGTTCATTAATGAGTTCTCTTTACAAGCAGTAATATATATTCATAATGGAGTGTATGGTAGGGCTTTACAGGAACTTTTATAAGCCACATTTTGTTTTCCCATCTTTGTCAATTTTTTTTTTTAAACATCAAATAGTGTAGCCAATTATAATTCTTAATGGGGCATAGACAGAGATTCAAAGTTAATGCATGAAATTGTCAAAATTTTCAGCAGAATTTCATGACTTACATATTGCAAGAAAGCAAAACCAACACACGAGTGTTGTCAGTTTATGGTCAGTGAAGTGAACAATGTCAGCAAATCAAACAACCCCAGTAAAACAGTTGACATTAATGATAACAGAGCTTGGTCAAAAGTTTTCAAACACATGTGTTTGGTGTAAGGTTATAAAAAATGCAGTTGTCATTGAGTATAAAGAATTTTCAGGTAATTTTAAGTCATTACAATGGAGCAAATTTTCAAAAAAAAAAATAAAAAATCAAAACTGTAAACAAAACAACAATGAAAGTGTAACCATGCTCCTTTAATTTAATACAAACAACAAGAGGCCCATGGGCCACATCGCTCACCTGAGTAACTTTGGCCATGCTCTTCATTACCAGACTTCCCCCCTTGTAATACCTATTGTGGCCCCGCCCTACCCCGGGGGCCATGATTTGAACAATTTAGAATCTACACTACCCCAGGATGCTTCCACATAAGTTTCAGTTTTTCTGGTCCAGTGGTTCTTGAGAAGATTTTTAAAGATTTTTCCTATATATTTCAATGTAAAACTTGGATTCCCTATTGTGCCCCCCCCCCCCCCCCCATCCCTGGGGTCGTGATTTGAACAATTTAGAGTGTACATTACTTGAGGATGCTTCCACATAAGTTTCAGCTTTTCTGGCTCAGTGGTTCCTGAGAAGAAGATTTTTCAAGATTTTTCCTATATATTTCAATGTAAAACTTGGATTCCCTATTGTGGCCCCGCCCTACCCCCAGGGGTCATGATTTGAACAATTTAGAATCTACACTACCCCAGGATGCTTCCACATAAGTTTCAGCTTTTCTGGCTCAGTGGTTCTTGAGAAGAAGATTTTTAAAGATTTCTCCTATATATTTCAATGTAAAACTTGGATTCCCTATTGTGGCCCCGCCCTACCCCCAGGGGTCATGATTTGCACAAATTAGAATCTACACTACCCCAGGATGCTTCCACATAAGTTTCAGCTTTTCTGGCTCAGTGGTTCTTGAGAAGAAGATTTTAAAAGATTTTCCCTATATATTCCAATGTAAAACTTGTATTCCCTATTGTGGCCCCGCCCTACCCCCAGGGGTCATGATTTGAACAATTTAGAATCTACACTACCCCAGGATGCTTCCACATAAGTTTCAGCTTTTCTGGCTCAGTGGTTCTTGAGAAGAAGATTTTTAAAGATTTTTCCTATATATTTCAATGTAAAACTTGGATTCCCTATTGTGGCCCCGCCCTACCCCAGGGGGTCATGATTTGAACAATTTAGAATCTACACTACACCAGGATGCTTCCATATAAGTTTCAGCTTTTCTGGCTCAGTGGTTCTTGAGAAGAAGATTTTAAAAGATTTTCCCTATATATTCCAATGTAAAACTTGTATTCCCTATTGTGGCCCCGCCCTACCCCCAGGG